AAAATAAGTTCAACTAATATATCGCGTTTTAAACCGTTAAAGTGTTTTATTTAAATGTGTACTACTCGCGTAAACTATAGACAGTATTGAAATAAAGAAACATGTTGGGATCGTACCCGCCTGTTATTATCCATACATCGCTAGATACCATTACGCGACTGCACTTGACTACAAATTTCAAACCACCGATAGCACACGGCTTTATGTTAGTTAGACACCCTTTCTTACCTATTTCACAAATAGATACTATACATATGAGTCTAGAGGCAGAGTAGCCTAACTGCATTTTTATGACTTGAATTATTTATATTTTAGTCTAGAAATGTTAATCTACAAGAGCACAGTGACCGAAAAGTGCTAACATGATTCTTACACAAATGATAGCACTAATTCATTTAAATAAAACACTTTAACGGTTTAAAACGCGATATATTAGTTAAACTTATTTGAAAATGATTTTTAACTTCGGCCCGACTTTCGGATGCTTTGCAGCAGCCGTGGTCACGGGGCAGACACTAATATAACGCGTTTTAAACCGTTAAAGTGTTTTATTTAAATGGAGTACTACTCGCGTAAACTGTAGACAATATCTAGTACTAATTCATTGTCGCCTAAGTTAATTGGGTATTTTTTCCTTTTTATTGAAAATTCATGTTTTTGTTATTAGGCCACTCTGCCTCTAGCAGCATCGTATATGACCTATTGTACAAAAACTTAAACGTTCAATCATAGAACTCTTCATTCGGTTCATTTCGCTGTGTGACTCACATCATATAAATGTGATTCGACAAAAACGATTATTGGAAAAACCGGACAGGCGAAAAAAAAAACTAATAAACCAAATCGCCATGTTTTTTTGAAACGGATCTTGTTTAATGCACTGACATTCATAAAACCGCATAATAACCGAAAATGACCCACCGTGGCATTTTCTCAACATTGTAGTCTGTGAACGGAACAAGGACATTAATTTTAATGTGTAGTTATTATAGTACATATTATCGTTCGGAAAGGAACAAAACGCGAGCTATTGCTAGCTGCAGCAGGTTTACAGTAAAAATATTGTTAAATAACGGATTTCAAACAATAACCTATATAATAATAAAATATTTATATCATCTCTATGTAACCGAATCAAATATTCTATACATGCTATAATTAGAAATTATATACATGCTTTTCTTATTAATTAGCCTGTAAAAAAAATATTATTTTATCATTGTTTCACTCTTGTTTTCTAGACACTCCGCAGCGTGGCAAGCTAAGTTGCAGCAAATGAACTGGCTAGGCAGCGCTAAATGTATCTTTACACGAACCATTTGGTGCCTAAGTCCAATATAACTTACTTTAAAATATCACACTTTTATATAATAGTACTTGTTATACATTTATTATTATTTATTCTTTATACGGCGAAGTCAAGCTTCATTTTTGTTTTGGACTTGGCTCTTGGATGGACTTTCCTTTTTTACATTTATGTTTTTGGTGGGATTTAATATTACATCTTATGTCACATATAGATATCTCTTAATTTGATTGGCCCAGGGGGGGCACAAAAGTTGGCTAAAGTAGAGCTAAACGTGTGCTATCTTAATTGTTTGCTAATACATCTGCATAATTCTAGTTAATCAACCTCCAAGCTATATAATCCACACAGAATATACGCAACATTCACTTGGCAGTATACAGTAAACAGCTAATACCTGCGGTTTCGTCCGCAATTAATAATTTAGCTTTCTGACAATGGAAGCTACGGTTGCAACAGACATTAAAATTTAAAGCCATTTACAAATGTTTATACTGTTTTTCTTTTGGGGTAAAAATAATTAGTTTACAAAAGCATAACATTCAAGACGTAGAGAGACGTGATAAAGTTTACAGATCATATACAGGTAGCTTTCGCTAGTTAAAGTTAAAGCATTAAAGGATCTAGGTTCGACTCAATAAATTATTTAAATATTTAGTGAAACATGGAGTTTCACGAGATCCACAGAGGACGCTGGGATGTTTCTATTGGGTAGTTTTAGACATTGTTTGCCTCGATTAAGGAAGGAACTAAAAGTAACAAGTTCAATTCCTGGGTACGCATTCGTACTATTCAACTGAAATGTCAAGTGCTAAGTTAATTTTTTAGTCGTATAATTATTAATATTTCATAGAAAATAAGTGTATCTACTATTGATAAGGACCGTCTCAGTAGCCAAATGTTTAAACGTTTTGCCTAGCATTGCGTTATGCGCGAAAGGTTCTGGGTTCGAATTCCAGGGGAAAAAATGTATCGGTCGGGCAGGGCAGAGAAGTCTGATCAACTACTTGCCTTTAAAATAACGAATCAGAAACGGACACAATTTCGTTCGCCTCATGCCCCGCGAGGGGGAAACGGGATTTCACACACACTATTGATATCAACAATAATTGATAATCATTGCCAACCAATATCTATGCTATAAACTCCATATTATATTTAGTATCTACCGTTTGTTGGATTTCTTAAGTTAATGTTTCTGATAATAATCAATTGCTCTTAGAGAAACCATGCTATTGTCCACTCTTATCAGATGTAAATTTTATCTGATCATTCAAACACATAAACGGACATTTCAACATGTAAACAAGCAAGGTAACTTGCCAAGCCATATTGAGGTATTTTTATTATGATGAGATAGTGGATACTTGATACATTATATCTTAAATGCCTTTATATGATTTAATTAATAAAAAAATTTTTTTTTTTTTTTTTTTTTTACTTAACATTTGTGTGAGTGAAACACTATAATACTCGTTGGTCTAATGGTAAAAATCTGTGGATTGTTGGTACGATCCCCACCAGATCCCAAGGTCCCAGGTCACAAATTGTTTCCAATCTGGTAATGTTTAGGTTTAAAGACTTTATTCTCGAAGTTTATATATACAATCACTAATGAAAATACATAGCCTATTATATAAAATACTTACAGTTCAGTGCATTGCGAGTTTTAAATAAAATTAATTAAAGTTTTAAATAAATTTTTAAATAAAAAAATATGAGGGTAGACAATTTGAGTTGTGAATTGTAGACGATGTGTTTATACGATCAGGTAATTACTATTAAGGTACTATTAAGCATGTTTTATCTGTAACATGTTGGACTTCGTCTGGAGATCTGGATATCAAATGGGTGGGTAGGTATATCAAAATTTAGTCCAACTCACAAACAGCCATATTGAGAAAAAAAAGCCAAATTAAATCGTGGTTCTGTTTCAGTCTGTCAATTTCCGAGTGTCCAAAGCCGACAGCGCGTCTCGTTTAGATGTGATGTGCTGGGGTTTTTCATCGTACATCATTTGAACCCCATGTTTGTCGTCCTCTAACATTAAAAAAATATACGTTGCTAAAAAAACCCCGATATAGAATATTTTAATCCTATAATTTTGTTTATGTAGTGTCATTAACAATTGATATATAATCCATTATATGGCATTTTTCACCTTCAAAGTGAATTGCACGGTTCTCTGTCATTCTCTGTCATAAAAAATGCACAATTAAAAAGCTCATTTTATAAACGATATCGTTGGATTAGTTTTGTTCTATACTGTACAGACCTTTCAATGCGCTAAGTGAAGCATTTTTTATGCGCAATGCCACTTACATAGCTCTTTTACAAACGCTCTGTAAAGTCTTTTGTTGACCTATAGATTTCTCAATTGTTATCGGTCAGCCTCGTTTACGGTTCTTTGGTTGGAAATGAATATTTTTTTTGTATTGAAAAAAGTTGTGTCAACGTTTTAATTTGCCATGCCAAAAGTAACAATATCGAGACTATATTAAAATAAAACGGTCATGGATGGATGGGTAATTAGTTTTGTTTATAAGAGTATGTACTATAAATAAAAAGCATTCAAGTAATAGAGTTTTAAAGCGGCTCATAGACGATCAATATTATTGTGCAATATCCCGGGTTGTGCAATAACACTGATCGTGTGTAGACGACATTGAAAGGTTGTGTACCTACCTTTTTTGTTCTTCCATATCATTAAATTGAATTACCTACAAATGTTATTGATTACTGAATAAGAAAGCGGGATGGCACGCATTTTAAAGGTTGTGTGTTTGGATTCATCTGCATCTTAAACATATATCCCGATACAATATACATGTTTTAATTAATTTAACAAACTTTAACCTTTTTTATTTTTTATTGAATAGACCTTAGGCCGCATCCTAGTATTGAATTACCTATAGACCTCGTTTATTTAGAATCTCCCCCTAAAAACCAAAAGGGAAAAAACACAAGACCCGACGAAGTCAAAACCTACATTGAAAGGTAGTGCAATTGCGTGAAATTCAAATTTACCGTGAAAATATATTCGTGCAAACGTGGTATAAAGAATTAAAAAAAAAAAAAAAAAAAAAAAAAAACAAAAAAAAAAAAAAAAAAAAAAAAAAAAAAAAAAAAAAAAAAAAAAAAAAAAAAAAAAAACCCCCCCAAAAAAAAAAAAAAAAAAAAAAAAAAAAACCCCCCGAGTTTTTTAAAAACCCCCCTAACCCCCCCAGGGAAAAACCAAAAATGGGGAAAGATTTTAAACGGACCCCTTTAGGAGGGAATTCATTATTTATTTTAATAAGTTTGTTAAGATGGATATTGTACTGAAAAAAATTGAGGCCTTGTTCTGTGAATATAAAACAGACTCCATACGTACAGAATCACTAACAATAATTTAGTTAATAATCTTAAAATATGACGTAGTTTACATATAAATAGAACACTTGAACGGTATAAAACGTGAAATATTTTAGCATAATTTATTTTAATTATGGTTCGACCCGACGTTTCTGATCCTTTTTTTCGTAACATAGAAACGTGCGGTCGTAGTTTAAAGTTTTTTTAGTTTAATGGAAAATAAAAAATAAAATCATTATTTCAGGTTATTGACTGAAGACTATGGAATGTAACCAAGTCTCCTGATTACAAAGAGATGGGTAATGATTCGGCCATATGAGAGAGCAGTGCAGAGGCATGGATGGACCGTAGGATGCGCGTCTCTGCGGCGCTCATATTCTTCATGACCACTTTAATGACAATAGCTGCCTTCGTACCCGGGGCGGATGGTAAGAAATACATCTTCTTAGACGTGTTAACTAGTATTTCTTTATAATCTGTACTTTCAATGTTTTTTGTATTCTCTGTGCATTATAAACAGTTTTGGCGGGAAAATAGTACATGTGTCAAATTTGTTTTAATTGTACAATATTGCAATAGAAAACATTATGCTGTTAAATTGAAAAATAATTACGACACGGACAGTATTTGAACCGGCATTCACAGCGTTCCGTGATATAGTGCCATCATGTGCAAAAAACACGTGAAAAAATAACATGTAAAAATATTAATGTTATCTTATATTCCTTTAAATGTGTACTAATCGCGTAAGCTATAGACAGTACAATATTGAGTTGTTTTCAGGGCCAGTGTCCAGACAAGACGCCCTAGAGGGCGGTAACACCACGTTGCTTTGTGACTCTACACCTGATACAGCAGACGATGAATTAATGCTGCTGGTGTGGTACAAGGATAATGCACCCATTTTCAGGTATGTTAGACTAAAATAGTTTGAAATGTGAATTCACCTTCATAATCAATGCAATTATGTATTTTGGGTCAAAGATGCCTTATACCATTCAAATTCAAATACAGTTATTTAGATTCAGAAAAACATTTTTTTAAACATGCTAGACCAAGAAAATCTGAACATCTAAATTTAAATAAAACACTTTAACGGTTTAAAACGCGATGTATATTAGTGCAGCATCATCCGAAACGTCTGGGCCGTAGTGAAAATAATTTTCAAATAAGTTTAACTAATATGTATCGCGTTTAAAGCGTTAAGTGTCCATAGTGCGAAGTGTAAATGCACGTGGCAGTTTCAGTCTGTGGAATTCTAAATAAAATAGGCCAACAGCGCATTTTCTTCAGATGTATGCTTGGGTATATCACGTCCCATTAAGTATACCCCATGCCTGTCTGTACTCTACCAAGTGATTTTTTTTATTACAGCTTCGATGCTCGCACAGAAACAAAATGGTCGAGCATAACCTTTAACACAAGTAAGAGATTGCAAGCGGACATACGCCAACAGCCTACAGCACTCGTGATTTCTGACCTAAGAGGAGATGACCAGGCTTTGTACCACTGCCGGGTGGACTTCCTTCTGGCACCCACCAGGAACATTGGTGTCAATTTAACGGTTATTGGTAAGTGACAATCTTTCATGGCGACTTTCCACCTTGCCCTATATTATAAAGCTGAAGTGTTTGTTTGTTTGCGCGTTAACCTCCGGAACGATGCGTTCGAATTGAAAAATTATTATCGTGGAAGGCTAGCGAAGAAAAAAAATGTGAAAAATTATTCATCTTTGACGGTTTCCGTTATTTGCGCTGCAAAAACGGTTCAAGACATGCAAAAAATATGTATGAAAGAAGAATTATCTTTAAATAATCTGAAAAAAAGTTTACAATTCAATAAAACACTTTAACGGTTTAAAACGCGATATATTAGTTAAACTTATTTAAAAAAGATTTTTAACTTCGGCCCGACGTTTCGGATGCTTTGCAGCAGCCGTGGTCAATGCAGTCTCCCGCAAAGCATCTAAAACGTCGGGCCGAAGTTAAAAATCTTTTTTAAATAAGTTTAACTAATATATCGCGTTTTAAACCGTTTAATTGTTTTATTTAACATGTACTACTCGCGTAAACTATAGACAGTATTTAAAAAGTTTACAGCTGTATATCCTATCTTATCAGATTAACTCACAAGAAGCGTTTTTATGAGAATCAAATTTCGTCGAATACTAAATGGCAAAATAACGCTATCCAGGTCAGCCACTTATCTATAATTATAGGCTGTAATAAACGCAACTATATTATCTGGCGGCCTATTTGAATTTTTCATAATAGACTTGTTTACTTGTTCAAATCCTTATAACGTTAGAAAGCCGAAGTTTTGTGATAAAAACTTTTTAAAGTTTAATAAGGAGGCTGTAACAATGTACAAAGCTTTTATAATATCCAAACTTTGATTTCTATATTAAGAGCGTGAGCAAGAATTTTAGATAGAAGTTATTTAAATAAAACACTTTAAAGGTTTAAAACGCAATATATATTAGTTAAACTTATTTGAAATTATTTGAACTACGGCCCGACGTTGCGGGTGCTTCGCAGCGGCCGTGGTCACGGGGAGACTGTTGCTGCAAATGTTTAAAAAGTGAAAGCCCCTCTCCCCGTCGTGGTTCATGTGGCAAACACATTTCTGTGTCCGTTTTACTGATCCATTATTTTAACGGCCAGGTAGTTGATCAGACTTCTGTGCCCTGCCTGATCGAAACAGTTTTATGTTTTCCTGGGATTCGAATCCCGGACCTCTCGCGCTTAACGCAATGCTAGGCGTTTAACCATTTGGCTACAGACGCGGTCGGCAAATGTTAGGCCGTAATTAAAATAATTTTCAAATAAGTTTAACTAATATATGACGTATGTAATTATATTATAGTTGTTTTGATATATTTTTAATATTTTTTGGCTTAAGACCTCTGTTTCACATTTTTCTAATTAACTTAATGTTTGTCTATGGGTTCAACTTAATACGGTCAGCGGCGCTTGAAGTTGTGTTGTTAAATTATTCAAACGTTATTTCAGTTTTTCTTTTTATTTTGCGTTTATATTTTAATTGTTTGTTTTTAAAACATATGATAATATTTCGTAATTAATTTTAGAATATACCAGGTGTTTGAGTGTATTTATTTAATGGAATTAATTAAGCGTTTTTAACGGTTCTAAACGCGATTTATAATTGGTTAGTAATTTTAATTTATTTTAACTGCCCGGGTCACGGCTGCTGTAACACATCCGATACGTCGGGAAAATCTTACTATAAATGGCGTTTTAAGTTGTTAAACAACAACACCTAATTATATTTTCTCTAAAGCAAATATCAATTCCATATATTCCTTCTTACTTCGTGTATTCTTCGATTGTTAACATTTTATTTCTGTTTTAAAGATATACAAAATAGTATGATGTAATACTATTTGATTGCAGACGCTTCCCAATTCGTATTTTTGGCACGTATAGGTGCAACTTACAAGTCTCTAACCGGAGATTGCGGGCTTTATCTCACGGATTTCGAAAGCTTCAGAATTCCTCGAAGTGTTCCTAGAACTTGTGCTTCCGTGAAAATTCCGTTAAATGCCTCATTGATCAATTGCTATTTGATGGCCTTCACGACGCGTTCGTATTTTCCAGAATCATAGCAATGTTTCTAAGCGTGGAAGGTATTATGTCGGCCTCGTTGGTGTAATGGTAGAGATGTAAGACTAATAATCAAAAACATTTCTCGAATCAATTTATAATTTTCCTGAAACGTGTCGGAGTTTGTCTGGAAATTTTTCTTCTTTTTTATTAGAAGAAATAATAATAATACTCATATTTTTAAAATACTGATTTATATGTGAGACTAAATAAAATTATCTGATATTAATGAAGTAAGTAGAATAAAGTAACTCAGATCTCATCTAATCGAGAAAAAGGAAGCCCCCGTTGCACTAGCTAATTGCTTCAAGGTAAATTAAATAAAAATTGAATCACATTAAAATTATATATAATAAATTTATCGACAAAGCATTCATAAATATAATAAATTAATTTGATATCACGATTGTTTCAATTATACTATGCTAAATAAATTCGGTTAAGAGTTGAAACATAGTGGACAAAAAATCTATACTAATATATAAAGCTGAATATTTTGTTTGTTTGAACGCGCTAAACTCAGTAACTACGGGTAATATTGAAAATTAGTTAGAGTTTGTGTTAGAGCATTTATCGAGAATCGCTTTAAAACATCGCGCTGTGATTAATAGAAGCGAAGATACAGCGGGCGTGGACAGAACTGAATCTTTCATCTCTGTATGTTTCTTTTGCGTACGCTGCGAAAACGGTTTAAAACACCCAAAAAATGTGTTGAAGAATGATTCCTTTTTAAATAATCTGAAAATATGTCCGCGACATTATATGTCTATCTTTAAAGATTAACTTGCAAGAACGACGGGACCCGAACACCGGGCCGTGAGCGACGGGACGCGACTGATGTCGTGGGCAGCTTAAATTTATACAGATTTGGAGGTTTGCAAAAACGAATTGAATTCCCGAAAATTCTAAGCGGACGAAGTCACTGACACAGCTAGTATTATTATAATACTCAAATGTATCTATAAGCCTTCTATTTTAGTACATATATACATTTTATTGTATATAACTAAGCTAAGCGATTATAACTTATATTAACACGTTATATAAAACTTAAAACCATTTTATCGCATACCTAAATAAAATACATTTGTATACTCCAAGGGGCAAAGACTCAAATTAAAAAGTATGCTAATAAACCCGTTGCCAGCTTATGCAGCTGAAAAACGTAGCTAAACAAAAGAAGCGGTTCCGCGGGCTGTGAAACCCTGGGGAACACCTTGCCAATTATATTCGAGGAACGGGGTCAAGACCAACATGCCTCCTACAAAGTACTATTGTTTCAAATTGCGAGGGAAATTGTTAAATGGATGAAATCATAAAAAGTTTTTTCCCCGATGAGTGTTTCTATTTCATACAAATCTCGCTATCTGTCGTGGAAAGTAACGATAACAAATTAGCATACAAATATAGTATAACACAAGAGATCTTCGCGAAGAAGGCTGTATATGGCAAAAGGTGTGGAATAGGACGCGCAGCTCTTTTTTACTTTATTTATGCCTCTCATTAAATACTGTATGTAGTTTACCCGATGAGTACAGATTAATAAACACTTTAATGGTCTAGTTAAACTTATTTGAAAATTAACTCACAGTCTGCCCGTGACCACAGATGCTGCAAAGCATTCGAAGCTTAACTAATATATTTTGCGTTATAACCGTTAAAGTGTCTTATTTTAATTATGTCTTTAATATTAAGCGGACGTTAGCGATGTTTGTGGTACCACCAAGGGAGGGCCAAGAGAGGTTCGGTTCCTCGGTTTGGCCTTTGGTGGAAGCTATGAAAGCCCAAACAAAAAAAAAAAACCTTTTAAATTTACATATCTCTCGCGTTGTCAGATTTCTTAGTCTCAAAACAATGAAAAACTATCTGTCGTGTGATTCTACAGAGTGTTCAGAGACCAAACACCCAGCGTCCTTTGTACTAACATGTCTTAGAAAATAATACATTTTTGTGAATTTATTAACTTTATTTTATGAAGATTTGATACCTTTGTACTAGCAACTTACCAATCTACGGAACTCCTTACACCCGAAATCACCCCGCCCTTGGCCGTTTTTAATAAACATCATTTATTGACGTAATGACACGATTGTTAAAAACGTTTCCTCAATTCCTAACTAACCTCTGACTAACATGTAATAATTATTCCTAGTAATTATCCGATTTTTACCTCAAATTATAAACCACTATGGGAATCCGTTGGTATTAGAGGCGAGTGACTGTATACTTATCGATCGGTACAATTACTCAGCACTTTTATTGTGACTTGTAACCAAATTTTAGTAAGCCGCAACACCACTAAAACCTCTTTCGCCCTTTCCTTTCGCCTCTTAATAGCTTGAAATGTATAGGTAATATAATTGAATTCAAACGAAAATTTATACATTTTTAATATAGATCAATAAATTTAAATAAAACTGTTGAAAACACGTTATTTTAATTTTTTAGTTAGTTATTTGACGTGCAGCCTCCCCGTGACCACGGCTGCTGTAAAGCATCCGAAACGTCGGCGTTTAACAAATATATTTCGCGTTTTATACCGTTAGTTATAGTGTTTTATTTAAATGAACTCGCGTAAACTACGGAGAGTATTCTGATTAATAGAGTTTAAAGACCTATATTTGTCATTATACATTACAAATGAAGAACTAGAATTTTTCAAATTCCGAACTTACATATCGCCTGAGATTCGAACCCTGGGCATAGTAGTAGTGGAGCAACACACCAAAGAATCATTTATTGTTTCAAGTGAGCTTAGGCTTATAGATAAACCAAATCTACGCTTACCTTAAAATTATCATGAAATGGATGGAATTTTATTTAAGCATTTGTATTGTACACTGTAATAGGTTTTTGATGACTTGTTTCAAGATTATACCAAGAACACAAGCGCTCTGTGATTATTTTCACATAAAGTCCACATAATATTAATGCTTATTTCTCCGAACACACCATTATACAAATAATAATATAAAAGGGAGTGTCAAATCAAAAATAATATTTTATTCCGTTTATCCTAAAAGTTTAAATAAAATACTTGCTTAGCTTTTAAAACGCGAAGTATATTAGTTGACTTATTTACATTTTTTTTGTGATAGAAGTGGAGAGACAAGCGAGGGGTTCACCTGGTAGGTGATATACCCCTATAGCATATAAACAGATGCACTGTCCACTTATTTTGAAACGTAATCGAACTTCACGGCGTTTCATCTGTGGACGGTGGCTCGCGACCTGGACGGAATTTCGATATTCCTACCACCCACTACATCCACAGACAAAAAAGGAGTGAAGTTAATCGCGTTTCGGTTTCAGTCTATGGATATCCGAATATCCAAAGCCAAAATAGGCTGACAACGCATCTTGTTTAGATGACATAGGCTAGGGTATTTCACCTACCATCAAGGAGACTCCGTGCTTGACTGGCTTCTGTCGTGAAAAATCCTCATTGTGCATATGTGTTCAATAAACAACTGTCACAGATTTTAATGTCATTTCCGTCGGTTGCCACCCGGTCATTGTTTGTTTAAATTGTCTTAATATTTGACACCTTAAACAAATAACACGTTTCTTTTGTCAATCGGCTGTATTTATTTAAAAGTGAATCCTCGCTCACCCCTGTAGGGAATGGGCGAACACATTCCTATGTTCGTTTTACTGATTTTATTTATTGGATTGGATGGATATATAATTTGGAATCAAACAAATCTAGACACAAAGCGTGATGTCACGTTAAAATTACCTTAGGTATAAGATAGACAAAAAAAATTACATAACAATCAATTTTTTTTTAAATTCAGATTGTTATAACAAACTTCGAAATTATTTGAGATACCTAAATGGAACCACAATTGGTTTTACTTTGTACATAGAAATTTATATAATTCTTTTTAAATAGACAAATTGAAAATTAAAAAAAAACATAATAAATAAATAGGTAGTAGAACCAATTTATTTAATTTGGCCTATAGTGATATGTTTTATGATTTATAAGATGAATTCCGTAATATCGATCTACATTTTAATTTATTACTATTATTTATAATACTTGGCTTTATTTTTACAACATACATCAGTGTTGTCTTAAACCCTTCGAAGCTACAGCCTGTGGGAACAGACTGACGATCAGTATTGTGCGATTTTCTTCACGCAGCATTCAGCTGAGTCTGAACACCGAGATACCACAAAATGTCTGCGGCATTTAAAATTTGTTTCTTACTTTCTTTCTAAAACTTTGTTCTTCCTTTCAGTGTTGCCGAGTCAGCCGTTTTTTCTGGATGAACTTGGGAATAAAGTAGAGAACAAAATAGGACCTTATCACGAAGGAGATACTTTAGTTTTAAGCTGTCTGGTAATTGGAGGTAAGCGAAATTACAATTATGTTCTTCGAAAAATTTACGAGTGAAGTATATAAATATATCTAACACTTAATCAAAAACTTTGTAATTTAAGTTATTAAGGTTGCTGCAAAGTGTTCAAAATAAGAATAAGTTAACTGTATAGTTTACGTTTTAAACCGTTTATAGTGTTTTATTGCAATGTATACTTTTCGTTCAAGCTACAGAGAAATATTTAGAAAATAGACACTTGAATCTTAAATTTTCAATTTCCGAACAATTGCCTCATGCGCATGAGTGCTTACATACATAGAAACATGTTTAAAAAATCTATGACACAGGCGAGACTTATATCCACGACCCACATAGCAACGTGTCCGTGATCTAACAATTAAGCTAACGTCTGTGTCTGTATTTTCACGCGGACACAGAAATATGTTTGTACCTACATAATATTTAAGTAATGCATTAAACGATATCTAACAATTTTAGGTAGACCACCACCACGGATAAGCTGGTACTCTGGCGAAGACCTGGTGGACGCGTCCGACGGTGTCAGCGACATCCCCGGAGTGAGGGAGAACGAACTATACTTACCTCTCACTCGGGACAACGCGCAGTCACTCTCGTGCAGAGCTACTAACACCCAATTAACACGGCCTGTGATAACTGCACTTGAAATAGAATTGTACTGTAAGTTTTTTCATCATGACAGCTGTACATCGAAGAGTGTAGTGTATAACAGTTTACCGTATACTCCCGAGTTTCGGGTACCAGAGACTGTTGCGTATAACAGCTCGGAAAAGTATACGTACTTGTGTTTGCTGACGTTATGCTGTAGAGTTAACAGCTTTGATTTGATAAAGGTTAAGAGGGAGGCGAAATAACCATACCCAATGAGTGCTGTAATGCAACTGATTTATTTCCTATTAATATCGCTTAAATATAATTTACAAGAAAGGTAGAAAATAGGACGCTCACTTAACTAACCTTGTAAATTTGCTTTTAATAAAAACATTGATGTGAGCACGACGCTGAACGTGAGAATTATGCTAGCTATGCTATAAATTAATATTATTATAAAAATATAGTAAATTTGTACGGATGTTTGTCCGTACAAAGAGTATAAGCCGATTCTAGTTCTACCGCTAAAGTTTTTTATGAAAGAGAACAAACAAGCATGCAATTCACCCTATAACAAATGTGGACATATTTTGACTTTGAACATTCGGAATTCTACAGACTGAAACTTTACAGAAATGTACTTATAGCTAATGATCAATGGGCCCTGGGTTCGATCTCCACCGGATCCAAGATGTTTCTAATTCAGGAATTTATATTTAAATTAAACACTTTAACGGTTTAAAACGCAATATATTAGTTGAACTTATTTGAAAATGATTTTTAACTTCGGCCCGACGTTTCGGATGCTTTGTAGCAGCCGTGGTCACGGGGAAACGTCGGGCCGAAGTTCGCGCGTTTTAAACCGTTAAAGTTTTTTATTTAAATGTGTACTACTCGCGAAAACTATAGACAGTATTTAATTTATATTCTTCTAAACATGTTAGACTACGTCTTGATATTTAATGGGTGGTAGAAATGAAAAACTCCGTCCGATGTACGAAGCAACGTTCATAGATGAAAATGCCGTCAAGTTTAATCGGTATCAGTCTGTGGTTCTCCGTATAACCAAAGCCGAGATCGATCGTACATATTGTTTTGTCTTTAAGGCTCGGGTATTTTACTTAAGATCAAGTGCCGTCAGAGTAGAGGCCCCTCCCAGAAATTATTAATATTATTAACTTGATATCATTTCAGTACCCGCTTACAACGTTTCCATCCTCTGGGTCGGTGGAACTGATGGTGATGCCCTCCAAGCAGGCAAACCCGCGGTTGCGCGGTGTATAGCACACGGATCCTACCCATCACCAGATATCCTGTGGTGGCTGGACCATAGACATTTATCGCAACATAGTAATCAGGTATTATAATTTATTTATCACTAGCTATGCCTACGACTTCATCTGCGAAGCATTATTGTGGGCGTCAAATGTATTACAAACCTTCACATGCCTTTAAATCATAGCACTTACCCATATCGTTCGTGTTTTCAGAAGTTAATATTAAGAAAGTGTTGCGGATGTTTTTTTGAATCATTAAAACAGGAATCATCTTTGGCTCATACTTTTTTGGTATCATGAAGCATTTTCTCTTCGTTAACAGAAACCCGCAAAGTTGAATAATCTTTCCTGTTTCTTCCCTACGATTGGTCGCAGCGTGATGTTTTATAGCTTAAAGCCTTCTTTCATAAATGATAAAAAAAAACATGCCGCACCATTAGTTTTTGAGATTAGCGCGTTCAAAAAAACTCTTCAGGTTTATAATATTAGTATAGATTATAATTTCCCAGATCAGATTTGAACTTACTATTTGTAACCATTGTACAATGTAAAACTTTGTAACTTAATCTTCAATGATTTTCTTAAGCTGCAAAGCATAAGACATTGAACATTAATACGCAAGTGTTAAGGTTGAAATTACATTGCGCGAGTGGTGCATGTTTCAATAAGTTGGAAAAAACGACGATGAAGTAGGACACGGTAGCTCAATTGGTGATTGGCAACAACATGGAACGCTAAGAACGCCGTTTCAAGTCCTGCCCAAGTCGTAAATGTATAATTAATTTTTAGTTGAAGATAAACCTCTCTCAAATAATTCCTCTAGAATAGGACTACAAAACTAAACGTTTAACGATGATCAAGAAGCCGTATCTAAATTTTAACTGTGCTGAGCATTAGTTAACACAAGAGCTTTTGTACATTGTCTCTAGTCTTAAGACTCAATTATAGTGCACGAACTTAACGCTCTGTATAAATTCACGGGTTATTATGTAATCTTCCGTTTTGAGGTCAAAATTAGAGTGTCGAGTCTCATCGACGAACCCCGTAAAGTCATCTACTACTATTTATATAAAGCTAAAGAATTTGTTTGTTTGAACACACTAATCTCAGAAACTACTGGTTCCAATTAAAAGAATATTTTTGTGCTGGTTAGAGTATTTATCGAGGGTGACTTTAATAGCATAAAATAAAATATCACACTGTCACCATCTATTTTGGCCCTTAGTGGCATTATATTGGCCTCGAAGGCAATCGGACCCACGACGCCAACGAGCCCGTCCATACCGATACGATAGGATCTCATTGTTGCTGGGGCAGATTTTCTTGGTTTGGCTGATAATTTTTATAATGATAAATGGTTGGGAGGGTAAACTTACTATTAGAGTTAGATTAGTTTATGATATATACGTATTGTCGTAAGAATTTTCGTTACTTTCTTGTCTAGTATTGATCTGTAAAACTTATTTCCAGAGCATCATTAATTCCTCCAATACAGCAATTTCTCATTTGGAGTTAACGCCATCTGTCGGCGACAATGGCGCAACTCTTGCGTGTATCGCGACTAACAGTGCAATGGCACCCGACAGAAACTCCAAGGCGGATGTAGTTGTACTAAATGTTACATGTAAGTTTTTATTTAAATCGCTAGATGGCAGCACTTTATCTTTTGAAACTTAGTAACACGATAGTTGTTAGGGATACTGCACGGAAAGCCCTGGTTATGGATTCGACTCCCGCCGATAAATATAAAGTGCTAGCTGTGCCCGCGACTTCATCCGCGTGTGATAGTGACTTGGGGTAGAATTTATAATTATTTAGGCTGTTAATTAATTTATGTAAGGGCGCATTTAATGCAGGCAATCTATGTTATAAGTGCTACTTTTCCCCAACACTCTCACCTAACATCACTCCCACTCTCATTCCTACACTCACTTCCACTCTCACTCCCACCCTGCCTTACTCCCACTCGCAGTTCCACTCCTATTCCCAAAAAGCCAAAGAAAAAAGGTTCATTGTTCTAGCTTCAAAAACCACGAATTTCCATACAAACTTTCATCCCCCTTTTCAGCCCTTACCCTTTTTACCCATTAAAAAGTAGCCTTGTCCTTTCTCAGGTTCTAAAATATCTGTGTACCAAATTTGTATTTAAATCAGTTCCGTATTTTCGGAGTTGAAGTCGGATAGACAGACAGACTTAATAAATTTGTAATGCTTGAAATGCGTTGTTATAAGTTTTGTCACATAAAGTTTTAGTAAAAAAACCGAACATATACAAAACAGCTCGTTCTTTGATTAATTGACAAGATATTAACCGACTGCAAAAATATATATATTTATTATGTAAATATATAATTCCTCGGGGTTGGTACAAAGATATACAATATGCATGCATTGAATTCAAAGAATAGTACAAATAAAAGATATCCATTTGTACTTTCTAACATTTATGTACACGTATGTCCGTGTCTAAATCGACAATTTTTTTTTATTTACAGATAGCCCATTAGTAGAAATAATTAAAGAAGGAGATGGAAGACTGAATGAAATCGTTGAATTAGACACTTTGCATTTGACCTGTGACAGTAAAGCCAACCCACCTATTGAAAACTATACTTGGTTTTTTAATGTAAGTATCCTATTATAAGTAAATTATAACACATTAAGTCACATTTGGATAGCTTAAACTAGAATGTTTTATTTAAATTTGTGCACAAAATATCACAACACATTTTCATATACAGTATACACCAATCACTGTAATACAAATTTGCCCCGCTTCTGTAGCCAAATGGATGTAGACATATTGCCTAGAATTGCGTTATGCGCCAGATGTCCTGGGTTCGAATCCCAGGGCAACAAAAAAGGTTGTTCCGGTGAGGTAAGGGCACAGAAGTCTGATCAACTACTTGCCTGTTAAAAAGAACGGGTCAGCGAAACGGAGACAGAAATGTATTCGTCCCACGCCCCACGAGGGGAAAATGCGATTTCGCTACTTAATATCAATTTAATAATAATGAAGTAGATTTAAAGTGTACTACTTAACCTATTAAACGTCCCAACTACTTAAGTTACTACTAAAGGAAGTTATTTGCTTTAAAAATAAAATAGTGACCAATTATAAACATAAATATGTAATGAAACCAATTTTATTTAGATAGCAATTCGGTTCTCGGTTGAAAAGTGTTTAAAACTTAGGTTTTGTGTAAAGAACTTTTAAGTTATACTAAAAAATGATCTACTTATTTAATTTAACAACTGGACGTCTTTTTAATAAAATAAATATGAATTATAGCGAATGGGTACCGCTACAAAAATTCTACGTATTAGCGTAATATCTTCAAGACTATATTCAAAAACATTTTCAGGATATAGAAATGAAGCCAAACAGTATATGGGGCAGTGTGACAAACACACAGACTCTTAAAATCCTAGAAGTCGAACGCAAGCACGCTGGGAGGTACTCTTGCGCAGCTGCCAACAGCGTCGGCGAGACTAGGACAGAAGCTCTTAGTATTATTGTATACTGTAAGTTGATTCAATTAATGCACATCACTCATAAAATGTTGAAAAGGATCTCACGAAAAGTATTTTGTTTTTTTGTTAATGGAAAGAAATAATTCCTAGCTTTTCAAGTATGTAGTTTATGCAAAAAGTCCACATTTAAATTAAACAATTTTCACGGTTTAAAACGCTAAATAAATTAGTTAACTTAGTTTTACTAGTTCTTTCTATCTTCTATTTCAAAATCTATTCAAGGACTAGTACGACAAAATGTAGGTATTTGTCAAATTTTAACCACCACCCCCCCCCCAAGCAACAACATGTTACCATGTATATAAGATCTATATTAACTATTTATATTCAATACTTAGTTTTAATTTCGAACCTTCCAGATCCCCCTGAATGCGCAAAAGGCATAACTCTAGTCAAGGAAACGTTGAAATGCAATGTGAACGGTCTTCCCGAACCCGATACTTTCTTCTGGCACATTCAGCCTTCTGGTGAAGAGATCCAGCACTTGACCACTGGGTCTCCCGTTCTTCCGCTAAGCCAGGTCACTGGAGGCCTGTCGGGTTTACTGGAAGCCAGTTGTGAAGCTGGAAATGGTATCGCGTCCCAGGATAAGCCTTGTAAGAGGGTGTTTTCTTTGGAACAGCTGAGACCACCTCAGCCGCAGCAATGTGATCTTGCTTATGAGTATGAAGAGTTTCAGATGAGATGTGTTCCAGGTAACTTAGAGTGTTCATAAACATCGTCGCATGTTAAGAGTGGGATAAAAGTTAAAATCATTTTTTAGAGCTGGTTTTTTTAAAAATTGTAGGTTTATGCTTTAGGCCTGGTTTTAACGGACGCGATGTTTAGTAACTTACTGCTGCCTACTAGTTTTTGTTAACTAGTTTAAAAAAAGTACTGTCTGTAGTTTACGCAACTAGTACATTTTTTGTTCATCATAGAAATAAAGCATTTTTAACAAAAAACGCGAAATATTAGTAAATGGAAGGAAACATCGGGCTGTAGTTAAAATAATTTTCAAATAATTTTAAGTAATATATTTCTAGTTTTAAACCGTTAAAGTGTTTTATTTAAAATAGTTTAATTTATTTTAGTGGAAAACGCTACGTACTACGAGGTATCAGTGTGGAGGATGTCCACATCTAATGCTTCGCTATTGCTCGAGAGGCGAGGGTCCATGGGTTTTGGGGTCAGCCAGGCCCTCGCTCAAGGCGGTGGTGGCCCGTGGCTGGTCAGAGGACCCTTGGGAACGCTGAAGATGGGAGATGAGGCTGCAGCATCAGCGTGCAATAGATACGGCTGTTCTAGACCGTTATTGTTGCGTCCTTCCGAAAATTTGCTGGATGCTGCCGTGACACCGTGGTGGAAATGTGAGGAAGTATTCTATTTATATTAAGAGTTTGTTTGGTTAAATATGTATTTTTCCAAAAAGGGGAAGTTAATCTTTTTATTTATTAGTTTGTAGATATTGTCTTCTAAAAGCACTAGTGAGTAGTATTAGCAAATTCAATTCTGTAAAATTTGTCCGTAGGAAATAAAATTTTTTTTTTTTCTATTTTAAAAATTAATAATTTTAAGATTGGCAGTGTAAAGCAAGAACAACATAACATAACATTCATTTATCAATATTATTTGCTTTTAAATGTATATTAGCACCAATAAGTGAAAAAGTAAGTTACTTTTTAGATAAAGACGTCGGCATTTCCGTTGGAGCTATAGTCTTGGTCGTGCTTTTCATCACCTCTACGAGTCTTCTCATTCGGCTTATCAGACGTTCCAGGAGAAAAGTTCCTGTCATCCAAGTACTGCAATTGGACGACGTCGCGAGAGACTACTTGGATACGATAGGAGGTAGGTAAGGGCTACTGTTGATATGTATAGGAAGTCATCTTTTACAAATCTAGCCACTTTTTTAAACATTTTCCCTTCTTAATGTAGCATATTTAAAACAAAATTTTACGTCTTGTTTAAGATATTTTTATATTTAAATACTGTTCTTTGTGAATATTTTGAGTACTTTGCTCTATTCAAAAGATCAGAGAATCTACATTTTTGTACTTAACGTAACCAGCGTTAGCGGAAAAATAGCTTAACTATATCGCAACCATTTTCATACGCCATATCTGATCATCTTCATAGTGTCCACAAAAACGTATAATTTCATTCTTCCAGAGCATAAAGTACACGCTTCCTGCAGCCTCCGGTCGTGCAGCAGCGGATATTCTGATGGCTCTACGGAATCAGCACCAGCGGTGGACAGGCGGCGGAAGCCACGCACTTTGTGGGAGTGGGAACCGCCACCGCCAGATGTCACTTTAACTTTGCATAGAGAGAGCGCTGTTTAGAAGAGATACAGAAAGAATAATAAACAAGAGATGATACATAGAAATATTTAGATAATACATTTTCCAAGAGGCGATGAGATCCGTCTTGGAAAATTGGTACGTTGGTAAAGTGGTGAACCCCACACCCGATCGTGATGACCACCACTCCACCATAGATGCGGGTGAAGAAGGCCTTTAGAAGATCCAATCCCTGCGCTGAAACTGTCAATTATGTCGCATATTTCACCTGAAATGGAAACAGAAGATATGACAGACCACGGGACAGACAGATGACAAGGGTGTTGTTTGTAAGATCAGTGACGTGTGGTTAAAACAATCCAAGACAAGATCGTCAGTGTATTTTGAGACATTTGAAGTTCATACAATTATAAAGATTTATTTGTAAGTTTGACCCCGCTGAGGGACCGTGTAAAAAGAATTTATTACTTTATTTATTCTAATAAATTGTTGAACTGCTCCCTTTGTGTCTTTTATGTGCTGTCCTAATCGTGGCTATTCACAATGTGTGTTCATAGTCATAGTCAACGGGTCGTGGATTCGATCCCCATATCCAACATGTTTCTGGTCATACAATTATTAAAATTATTACTTTAAGTGAATACATTTCGTGTTTTAAAATTTAGAGATGGGCCGGGCCTCTGCGAACTCGGCGGATTCTTTGACTCTACTCGGCCCAATAACTCGGTTTATTTTTGTTATTTGTATAACGAGTATACCTTAAGAAAAGTAATATGTTTAGGTAGATATAATTAAAACAACAGTGTTTATCGAAAAGTATTTACTAGTAATTTAGGAAATCTGAAAATCTCAATTAATGAAATCTAAACTATGCTAATGAATGCGAGCAATGAGAGCGAGCCCACGTCTTGACTGGCGCGAACCTGTTTATACTTGTTTACGCGCGCACAGTGAGAATTTTATTGAACCGAGTTACTCGGCCGAGTACTCGGTTGAAAAAAAACGTGAGCCGAGTAAAACTCGGTACTCGTTACTCGAGAAAAGTGTTATTCGGCGCAACTCTAGTTTGTATGGATGGTCAAACAGGAAGAAAGTGTTGTCACCAACACTGTACTTGGGGGAGCACGAAGTATTAGTCGTTATTACGATATAAATATAACAGTCATCATTCCACAACGCTTACTGGAGTAGTATGGTGGGTCTGAGTAACTGTGGGAATAAATTCAAGCCTTCAGATGCTTGTTATTTTAAACAGCTTATTCCAATTAAATTACCATGAGGAAATTAAATACTAATTATATAAAATCCTTATTTGATTCAATGAGCAATACGGAAAATTAACGATGCAAACATGTTACTAATACTTGGTATAGACCGGCATATTTTAAATAAACGCCTATAGCGACAGTTGAAAGATAAAATATTTTTGAAGCTTAAACTTCTACCCATTTACTGTACAGATTTTCAGACGAATACATACATACAACCCGGTTGGACCTGGTGGCAATCAAACCCACGATCTCTCCATTAGCTATACATTGCTAATATAAGGTTAACGATCCCGTCAAAGGTTAACAAAAATACAATACAATCAATCACTACTTAGTTTACGAATTAATCCTACAAAAAACACGTTGTGCAAAACATGCTTATAACATAAATAAAAGATTTGGGTGACACAATTTTGATGATAAAATGATAACCAATTGAGCTATCGTGTTGGTAAAGACAAGGTAACTTTATTGTCAGCACGTTACGCTGTGATCGTGGGTTCGAGTCCTGTATGATTTTATTGTAAATAATTTATTTATCTTGGGTAATAGGAAAATATGAACGTCTGTTTAGCAGCTAAACAAGAAACAACACATCATCGAATAAATATACTACACGTATCCTACAAAAATATGTGAGCTTAAGGAAAACGTCTACATTTATTAATATCGTAAATACCAGTTATCTGAGAGTGTGCGTCCAGTCTGCAGTTGTGGTCCGGCTGGGTGGTGCCCTCCAGAAAAATGTCGACCAGACTAATTTTGCTAAGCGTCGTGCTGTTGCAGATATCCGGTGCTTTAGGAAGTGAGTACGAGTTAATTTTCCGATTATTTATAGAATTCGTCATGATTTTCTACAGTTTAAAGTGTCATGTTACTAGAGGTCTTTTAACAAATGCAACGCATAAATCAGCCGTTCAAAGTTATGCTGTATTCCTAATAACCAAACCTTGGAATCATAACATGTTTTGAGTGTAGCCACATTGCGTTTGAACTTTATTGCATAGTGATGTTTATAAGATAATTTTAAAAAAAAAAAAAGAAACAAGTTTATTTGTTCCCAAGCTAGTTTGACCTTCCAATTATAAATTAGACATGAACAACACTACTAATATAAAATCTCAAACGAATCTTGATTTATCGAAATCACTTTTGTTATCGACTGTACGTTGTGATGATATTATTGATCGAAGAAGAATCTCTTAGTTAAATATGCTTATATCACTTTAACGGTTTGAAACGCGATATACATTAGTTACAATTTTTTAAAAATTATTTTAACTACGGCCCGACGTTTCTGATACCTTCAGTCTCCCCGTGACCACGGCGAGTGTAAACCATCCGAACCAATATATATATATATATATATATATTGCGTTTTAAACCGTTAAAGTTTAAATAAAACACTTTAAAGGTTTAAAACGCGATATATTAGTTAAACTTATTTGAAAATGGTTTTTTACTACTATATCGCGTTTTAAACCGTTAAAGTGTTTTATTTCAATGTGCACTACTCGCGTAAACTACAGGCACTATTTAAATATGCTTAAGTTTTTTTTAAGTTGAAGTATTGTTGTTGAAGACCTCTCTGTACGAAAATGTGATTATTATGTGTTAATTATGAATATAAAATATATAATAACCGTTCAGTATACAAACATAAGATGTCTACATTTCGCCATATTTTATTATTATAATAATTAATACTAACAAAGAAAACACTTTATTTTTATGTATATGTGTATATTGAAGTACAGGCAACAAGAATTAAATTCAGTGCTTATTTGTAGATGTACAATCGTAAATATATACGGCATATTGTAGTTTGTTTGTGTTTATATTAAGATATGATTTTATAGACACTCAATCTGTTTTGAGCTAAGATGACATAATAAGTTAGGGATTTTATTAAATATTCTTACTTTGCACTCTTAAGTTACAACAACTTAGACTATAAACTAGTTATCTCGGATTCCCGCAAATGATAGTTGTTTTTTTATCATTCGTTACTTAGACAATTATCTGATTTTCAGGGGACTGTCGTGATTGTATGGTGTATACATCATGTCCATCTGCCAAGGAACGTGTTGAAAAGTACCAAAACCAGGATACGCTAAATCTGTTCGAGAGCGCTAATTGCGGTTACGAAGATACGAGGCCAAAGGTATAGTTTAGTAAATTAGGTCCAGCACATACACGCCAAAAGCTTTTACTGTGGATTAGCCATTATAATAATGAGAGAAGGTATTTAGCTGGTTTTTTGCACTTTTAACGGTTTATGACACGACATATAGTTTGTTAAGTGCCTAGACCGAAGCATTAAAAATAAAATGAGAATTTTACGCGTTTCAAACCGTTTTACAGTGCTATAAAAAAACTAGGCAAGCCAAGCGACCTTTGCCAATTTTTATATTGGCTTATCCGTATTTTATTTAATAGTGTACTACTCGCGTATACTACAGACAATGTTTTTTTTTTAACAAAACACTCTCACAGTCTCCCCGTGACCACAGCTGCTGCAAAGCATCCAAAACGTCGGGCCCTAGTTAAATATATTATTTTCAAACAAGTTTAATTAAAATATATCGCGTTTAAACCTTTAAAGTGTTTTATTTACATGTGTATTCCTCGGTATTTAATGGTTTTTTGTTTTGACGTTCCACTTACTTAATGAATTGAAAGGTCACGATCGTTAAATTCGGAGACGTAATAATTTTTTTCCGTTGCGCCGAGCATTATTACCAGTTTTGTGTTACCTACGAGAAACAAGTCTTGCCTTCTTCTGCTTTCAGGTCTGCTGTTCCTCTTTTCCAAAGCTCGAAACAAGATTTGGAGATAGTGGGCGAGAGGCTAAAGAGAAATTACTGCCTAAAAACTGCGGACGTATTTACGGGGACAGAATTGTTGGAGGCACACAGGCCAAGCTATACGAGTTGCCATGGATGACACTTATATCTTATGTAACACGTGAGTTAAGAGATTCATGAGACTATACACATGATTACTATCATTTTAGAGCCAAGGTAGTTTACAATTGCAAAAAGAATTAAAGTACGATTCTAAGATAGTAGAAAGATTCTTTCTGCGTTTTAAAATTTGAGATGTGATAGTGTACATTTAGGAATTTTGAACTTTTGAGAACTTTTTTTTTACGTGTGCCCATAAAGGGACTATATAATTTAAAAATCGAAAATAAATTGAAAAAAGTTTCGACTCGGGCAGGACTTGAACCGGCATCCGGTCGTCTCGAAATGTAGGTATTGAATGGGTTGTAGGAATATCAAAATTTCATCGTTTAGATATAAAAGCCGTCAAGTTTAATCGCGTGTCGGTTTCAGTCTGTAAAAAACGTAATAAACTATAAAATCGATTAAAATAACGAATATATACTGTTTCAGGTGACGGCCAACGTTTCGAATGTGGTGGAAGTATCATAAACTCGAGGTACATCTTGACTGCCGCCCACTGTGTCGTGGGTAAGAAGATCGCTGGAGTCAGGGTGGGAGAATACAATTACCTTACCGACGTCGACAGCTCCGACAACCCTCTAGAAAATACATGTGAAGAGTGGATACAAGTAAGATTTTTTTTTAATGAAAATGTATGCCTTTTCGAAGTAGATTTTTTATGTTAGAGAAGGAGAGACGAGCTTGATGGTAGGTGAATTACGCCAGCCTATAGCATCTGAACAAGATGCGCTGTCGGCCTATTTTGGCTTTGGATATTCGGAAATCCACAGACTGCCATCGAAACGCCATTAAAGTTCACAGCTTTTTCATCTGTATACGGAATTTCGATATTCCTACCACTTTTGAAAAATGGTGAACCTGGTGGGGATCGAACTCTCGTGCATTGCATTAGACCAACGTTCTATGTCATGATACTGCCCCTTAGTATATTCCTCTATGGAACTGAATACATAGAGACGTAGACATTGAACCTAAATTTTAATGTTTAGGACATCTACGTTGAAGAAGAGATTCCTCACGAGAACTATCAACAATTAACGCAAGGTGTTCTCAACGATATAGCTTTGTTAAGAGTGCAGGATGAAATCGAATTTAACCACCGTGAGTACAAGTTTATTTAAAGCTGCCCGCAGAATTCGCGCGCAGCCGTGGTCACGGGGGCCTATTGCAAAGTGTTATTAATCAATATATATAAACGTTTATTACAAACATCATTTCTTATCATCTATTTAATAAAAATATATATAAGTATGTCTAAATAGATCAACATCAGAATGATACAAATTGCACGATGTTGTATGTAAATCTACTAAGAATAATAATAAATTAAGTAATGTTTTTACAGCTAACGTCAAACCTATTTGTCTGCCGTTGTCTGTTGATTTACAAAAGAAAAACATAGTTGGTAAGAATGGTACCGTCGCTGGCTGGGGTGTTACTGAAACCGACATGGGTTCACCGGTTCTGTTGAAAGTGGATGTTCCAGTACATGGAAAGCTGAAGTGCGAAGGATTTTATAACAGGTACATAACTATTAATTTAGAATTAAATGTTACCTTATCTCCTAATAAGTGCCATGTTCCCCTGGGGTAAAGAATTTTAATAGATTAAAGTTTCACGTCTTCATCAATTACTGTGACATGCTTGCACACTTAAACGCTCGTGGTTTTTCAATACTAACCGTGTTTGCGGCTAGAACGAGGGTGCCCCAAGGGGGAGTGTATATCCGATTTGATTTCCTGCTATTTACTAGCCCTATGGTCTTCCTTTGACCTTCTTACTTTAATATGTGTTGATGTCATCGTACTGGACGTATTTGGGTACTTCAAATTTGTTAACCTTCCTTCGTTTGGTGTATAGCTTTAATACCTTTTTTTTCTACGGATATGGTTGTAGCTCCAGAATCTTTGCAACTATAAGTGGCTAAAGAAAGAGTGACGACGAATTTTTTACATTTGAAAGTATGTAGTAAATTAAAACTTACAGTGCTTTCCTCTCTATTAATTAATTAACGAAGGCATTAGCAAGAGATGTTAACTCCTCGGTTGCTCGAAAAATTCTTCAAAGAATTAAAAAGTGAACAACCCGAAAACCAATGATACGCTAACTCTACAGTGTCCCTAATGCGGCGTGTTTAGTAAACAAAATTTGTTTTCTATATTCAGGAATACCGCCGGCTACAGAGTTACGAACCAGTTCTGCGCTGGAGAGCTAAACAAAGACTCTTGCGGCGGCGACTCAGGCGGACCCTTTATGGTCCAACAAAGTTACCGGGGCAAAGACAGTCTCGTTCAATACGGTATCGTCTCGTTTGGACCACGCAAATGCGGATCAACATTCCCCGGTGTTTACACAGACGTGACGAAATACGTCGACTGGATATTAGATAAAATAAGGGAATAAAACATTACCTACCTTAATTTTAATCATATGCATTTACTTTCTTGCTGGTTGTAATGTTTTAAATAAATAATGATCAATCCTCAATTAGTTTTATCTATTTCTTTAAACGATATTAAGTTCTTCCTCAAAGCCAAATCCCCAAGGCCCATGATTGTTCCAAAGTTCTAGAAATCCTGACATACAGAACAATTCTTGGGGTATAAAGTTGATAATTAGCAATTGGCTATTGTAGACCAAGAGCCGCTCTGAACCACATCCGAGTTAGTTTAGGTTTATTGTTAAGAAATGTAGGTACACTTGAAGCAAAAGGGTTAACAAAACTTAAAAGGTGAGTGAACTGACAAAAGATGGACCTGAACTCAGGCTATTTATGAGCTGGGTTCACATAAAAAACAACAAAATAGATGCTTCATTTGCTTTTTATATCAAAAATCTGACGATTCATACACATACAACCCTAAAAAGTGTGAAAGCCCGTTTCCCCCTACGTGGGGCATGGGGCGAACACATTTCAGTGTCCGTTTCACTGATCCGTTATTTTAACGGACAAGTAGTTGATCAGACTTCTGTGCCCTGCTCGACCGAAACAATTTTTTGTTTTCTTTGGATTCGAACCCAGGATCTCTCGCGCTTAACGTAATGCTAGGCAATACGTTTAACCATTTACAGAGCCGGTCATACAACCATAGGTAGGAAAAATTACTTAACGATTATAAGATAAAGACAACGCTACTTTTAATTCTGTAGATTGTTACAAAGAATTTGCATATCACGCGTTTTGAAATTTAAAAATTTTTTAATGAATGTTTAAAGTTTGAGTACACTATATATACAATGTTATTATCTACATTATTATAACACTCAAGAACAATGTGTAATTCGTTTAAAAAATCATGACATACAAAAATAAGAAATATATATTCCTTAAAATAATTTTCAAAAACCCAAATAAATAAATTTTCAATTAAAAAAATGATTGAATACTAACCGGACGTTTGGGCGAGGCCCCCAAACCGAGGCCGTGGCCCGAGGAGGGCATCGGCCTCGGCTTGGACCGCCGCAATGCGGGTGGAAGCTTGAAGCGCTGAACGGAATCTCATCCGGGTGAGAGGTACACGGAGCGAATGACCTCGGTTTTGCGGACGATCGGCGCCGGCGCCGATGGATCGCGTTGAGACTAGCGTCGTCGGGGTCGGTGAAAACGTTTCGCGGTCTTCTCCAGCGTGTTTTGACGGGAACGGTATAGATGGCGGCCCGGGCCACCAGAGGGTTCGGATGCGACGCGGCTTTTTTAAAGAAGCGTTCGGACGTTTCTTTGAAGTACCGACTGAGGGTCGGCCATTCAAGATCGGCGTGGAGGTTGGCATTCCGCACGCACCAGATAATCCATTGAAGCAAATAATATATTGCCCCCAGCAGGTGAAAGCCGGAGACGTATGACCCACAGACAAAATCATTGTCATTTATCTAAAAGTAATAATTATATTTTTACACAGGAATCACATTATTACAGACTATAAACTAGCTACATAGCTAATATATAAATATATACTTAGTTATGATAGGTTATCAGTAAAACTTTGCACTGACCTAAAGGAAGTTTTTTGTTTGTTAATTTAAAATGGGTATTTCCCAAATAACAAAATTATCTTCTAACCACAGGGAAAACTAAGCCAGTAATATTTGTTTAAATCAGTACACTACCATATAAGGTATACTAGTCTTTGCAAAGTGTCCATAAGGCTCACGTCTCGGTAAACAATATTAAAATGATTTTAATTAAATTTATCGTATCAACTGTGTTACTGGTACAAATATACTGTGGCGCTGTACCTCATGCTCGTAGTAAGTTCCCACTATTGTAATTCCGTATATCCTTTAGGTGTATGAGACACAATATTTACTGATTCGTTGAAATTAAATTTTCGTAACCAACCAGGGACTGAATCCTCGACTTCAAGTCGGGAAAGCTAACTACCAACTCTCATTCTCATATTTCATATCGTGTTGCAGAGACATGCAGTGATTGTGTAGCATACACGTCATGCCCTGGTGCTCTTCATCTCCTAAAGAGTAAAAGAGACAGACAATCTGCTGATATTTTTTTAGCTGCAGCATGCAGCTCACAAAATGAAGACAAAACTTTTAAGGTAATTAAAAAAATTGTTAAAGATGCCTTTAATCATGTTTGTATATAAGTACTCTCTGTAGTTAACATACATACATACGTCTATTTAAAAAACTTAGTTAACTTGTTCACAAACCCGTTTCGGGGCTTTACATACGTAGAGGCGTAATAAAAAGTAAAAAAAAAAAAAAAAAAAATTTGGGGGGGTAAACCGGGGGGGGGGTTTTTTTTAAAGGGGGGGGGTTTGTCCAAATCCCAAACCGGGGAAGATTTTGGGGTACCAAAAGTAACGTTCAGTTTAATAAAAAGTGTATCTAAGTAGGCGACTCTATAACAAACATTCACATTTAAACATAAATAAAAATTACGCATTGAGGATAGAACGATAAAAAATTACGTTGAGTGGCTGAAAAATATAGACAGATTAGCGTAAGTCTGTAATAGAAAAAGCCAGTAAAGAAGAAGCTTAGGTTCTAGGGCGTAACCCTAGAGCATTAGCTTATTCTATTACAGACTATTCATGACTTTATTTTGTTTCAAACTACATGAAATAAATGGTTATCGCATTTTTTGATAATTATAAGGTTACATTAAATTTTCTGAATTGTTTACAACCAACTCTTTTAGGTGTGCTGCTCCGAATTTCCTGTAATCACTGATAATATCGAGGAATCATTTGACGAAAGTAAACAGGAGCTGTTACCGAAAAATTGTGGTCGAATACTTTCAAGCCGATTGTTAGGAAACTCAAGATCCATGTTGTACGAATTTCCCTGGATGGCTTTAATAGCGTACAGAACCCGTGAGTATTTGACAATGTCTACATTATTTTAAAAATCGAAAATAAATTGAAAAAATTTTCGACTCGGGCAGGACTTGAACCGGCATTGTCAGCGTTCCGTGCTGTTGCTCTAGGGATACAAAAATAAAAAAAGTACCTATTGTATGAGAAGGTATATCAAAGTCTACATCATTTTGAAGTGCTGAATGTGGGTAGATCTCAGAATTTATTTATTTCGCCGAACGGCGTTCGCGAGAGCTACCCGAGGAGAGGTGCTGGGGCAGCTTGAAAACCGTTTATTACAAGAATTTAAATTTCTCTACGTAATTGAAATTCTTCGCGATAAAGAACATAACGCGGTTGTTTTGCGCTGGCTTTACTTCAGTGTGCCGGGATACGTGGGAAAACGGCATCATCCACCGTTGCTGGTCGTGCCTTTCGCGCATTCCAACTTGATGGTTAGGGCGCTCATCACGGAAGCAATACGAGTTGTTAATATTGTACACCAAAGGATTGACATTTTCACGGGGTATTGGAGTGTAATAGCAAATATTATTGACGTAATTGTTACTAGAAGCAATAAAAATATTCTTAAAACTTACTTTTCACATTTTTTCTTTCGTATTACTGTCGAAGCACTGTGTGCTAGATGAAGGGCTGGAGCGATTGCTGCGAAATAACGTTACCACTACATATTATATAACTTCTATACAGTCCACTAAACATCAAACAACACTTATTTATTTTTATCACTTGATGGAGGGAGGATACCGCAGCCACATAACATCTAAACAGGATGCGCTTGACCTATTCTGGCTTTATATATTCGGTAAACAACAGGCTGTAACAGAAACGCGATTATTTACCATTTTTTATCTCTCAACTGTTTGTGACCCTATCGTGATTTTAGTCGCAAAATCAGAGGTCGACCTCTAAAGAGATTACCATAATATTCGAATGATTCAATTTTTTAATGTGAACTATAATAAAAATTATATTCCAGGTGATGGCGTCGAGTTTCAATGTACCGGATCTATAATTAACTCAAGATATATATTAACAGCGGCCCACTGTGTTATTAATAAGAACATTATGGGTGTCAGAGTCGGGGAATACGATATAGGAAGTACAGTTGACTGTTACGGCTACGACAATATTATATGTGAAGAACATATTCAGGTACTAAAATAAATTTTAGTTTAAAATGTCCTATTTGATTAAAAACAATTAACGGTTTAAAACCTTAAGTACATTAGTTATTTACTATGAATACAGTAAATCAACCTCGTTGCGATAACGGCTTCTAAACCCAGTCGGGTCGTAGGTATGTCGGGCCTGGGGCGAACACATTTCGTAATTTCAGATGGAAAAAATAAAATTGTTTGCTGGGATTGCTGCCTAGTGACTCTCGTACTCTAATGTTACGACAACAACGAATAACAACTCGTTCAACCATTCATCTGCAAACGCGGTATTCAGTTGGGCAGTAATTAAAACTAATTTAAAGTTCGCATTTTAAACCGTTTAAAGCGATATCAGTTCAGGACACGCGTATTATTAGTCTTATTAATTAAGGTCATTATTTTGTTATAACCATCGTTGTAAAAGGTATCTAGATTGACACTATGCTGAGTAGTAATTTATGAAAGATAGAATTAATATATTTCTTCATTAATTTAATACAAATATTCCACATACGATCTTACACAAAAAATACATTACAAGTAAGATATATGCGGAGGGACTCCACTCAGCTTATTGTAACACTACAGATAGACAAAATACACAATTCTCAGATTTAAGTATACGCGACTAAGGCCGCCTCTGAATATTCCCTGTTAAAAATGTATTAATCCTTTGAATGTAATAAGTAAGTTTCTCAAGTTATTTTCTCGTATTTTTGCAGGATATCCAGGTTGAAGACAAAATCATTCATCCTTATTATCAACAAACAGATCTTAACGATATCGCTCTGTTAAGACTTAAAGATGAAATTGATTTTACACATGGTGGGTTTGAAAAATAACTTATTATATAACGCATAGATTAAACAAATGATGTCTTGGAAAAAAACGATCTAAACGAGAGGCGCCGTCGATGTTATTTTGCTTTCGATATTCGAAATTCCACTGGCTGAAGCCGAAACGAGACATCACGAATTTCACATCCGTGGCCGGAATTTCGATATTCCTAACACCCATTTAATATCCAGATTTCCAGATGAAGTCTAACATGTTTCAGAATAATTATAAACTGTTGAAAAAGGTTCCCAGCCGATGGCCACATTGCATTATACCAACGAGTCTCTCAGGTTTTGCCTACCCCATGTTGGGTTCGTTTACGAGTTTCTTCATCTCCACGTGTTTCCTTAACCTCCAGCTTCCATAATCCCTCTGTCTTCGTCTCACTTCCAAATAATAGGACGAACCAAAGTCTCTTAAATTCGGATACATTTTTGCGCATAGACGTTCCAAAAACCAAGTGTGTTATTGTATAAGATAATTGTACATTTCCGAATTGTTTTAGAAAACGTGAAACCGATTTGCTTGCCTCTGTCTAAAGAGCTGCGCAAGAACAGATTGTCTGAAAAAATGGGAGTTGTAGCCGGTTGGGATCTCAGCACAGGACGTTCCCCTTCAACACCTCAAAGGACTTACATTCCGTTACATGACGATTGTAGTCAATATGTAGACAGGTAACAATAGTATATAATATTTTTACCGGTAAAACACATACAGATATCGCCAGGGATCCAATACTAAAACACTACTGAGCAAGTAGACATCATAAGTCGGTTCTATAATAACATAGCTATTTTCTGCAAATATCAACTACGAGGTAACAGATGGCGCTAGAGTAGTAGATTTCTGTTTAACGTTAGGAGTTCTCTTAAAATAAAAAAACTCTTTAATATCCCTTGACCAATACTTCTAACTGTAAAAATTAACTTAGTAAGATTGAAAGGCTTCCAGAAATTTCTGAAAGGGAAAAGATTCAACTCTAAATCTCTCGGAAGAATAAAAGTAAAATTATTTAGTATAATATTTAATAATATAACTCGTGTTTAACCTTAATTCATTTATGATAATATTATCCATCAATAAAAGTTAGTTCAATACCCTTCATCAAAACATTTTTGAAATGCACGGTCTATATTTTAAGATAAGTAAATTAAAAATACAAGTCAGATAATTTTACAATTATTTTTTAACCTTACATCGTAATTTGAAGTCAGTAAGCCTTTAGTCCAATGCCAATGACCTATGAAAGTGGATAACGCAAAGCATACAATATTTTTTATAAAAAAGAAACAAACTCTAATTAAATTTGTTTTTTTTTTCAGAGTTAATAGTGTAAGAGAAAATAGCTTCTGTGCTACTCAAAATAGAGATGAGTGCGTTGGCAATTCTGGTGCTCCTCTTCTAGTGGAAGCTCAGTATAATTCCACAACAAGATACGTCCAATATGGCGTTCAATCCGTGGGATCAGTGACGTGCAGGTCTTCCGCACCACTTGTTTATACAGATGTCAGGAAGTTCGTTAACTGGATATTACAGACTATTAAAGAATAATATATAAGTTCAAAAGTTATATATATATATTTTTTTTAACTTCATTTACTTATTTCTAACTACATTTTTGTAATTGTTTAGTTTCAATCTTTTTCAATTTTTATATCATTCTAGAAAGTTATCTGTGTTGCAATAAAAATACAATTCTGAGCATTTTCTATCATTTATTCCCTTACCACCTTAGATCCGTTTCAACTTGTTATGTTGAAGTTGTCTTAAACAAAATAATAAAAGTTATTATTTAAACACAATGTCATTGACATTAAAATACAGCACCCGAGAACGCATAGGGACGTTAAGGAAAACCCTGGTGCGATAAATGCGATAGTTTTCGTGTCTTATTACAATTGAAATAAAATTAGTGACCGCATGACTGGTGTGAACAACAGTTAACATAATTTAAAAATTAAAAGAAATAATGATTAAAATATTTACAGCACTCCTGATTCTGCACACATGTAACGGAATTATACGCAGTGAGTATTACATTTGTTTTTACATAGGTGGGATTCGAATCTACGACCTTTTTCAATCGTTCTAATTCTTTTTATAGAGCGAATAGGGAGGTTAAAATACTCATATAGAATCTTCAACCACTTCACAATATACGCGTCGACCTATATTCCTTACATTTAACATCAACTTCACGATTTTCATCTGTAGTACGGCGGACCGTGTTCTTTAATAATTGTTGACTCTGAAACTTATTTTCCTTGGAAAGTACTGCGACGACTGTATAAATTGCACGAAAAATCTTGCCCAGCTGCCGCGGGTCGTGCTCTTTATAAACACGGAATCGACAACGCTATTCTCTAAACGCCCTCTGTGGTTGTCCAGTAACAGCAAAAGACCAATATATACAGGTTAAGGTACTAAATCGAATTATTATTGTGTCATTTTTTATTTTTCGATTTCCTAATGAACCCGTTATTTCAATAACATATTGTCTGAATGTACTAATCTAACACTATAAAAAGCTTAAGAGTTTGTTCTCAGTCTTAAACATGGTATTCCCCGGTCAAACTCACTGTTGATTAGACCATTTAGAGGTGAAATGACACGAATACAGCGAGAAATGTGAACAAAGAATTCGTCGAAAATCGTATTTAGCATTATCGTTTCAGAGGCGTACGCTGCAAAAATTTTTCAAGGAAAGTACCCTAAGAAGATGTATGAAGCCACGTCTTGCCCATATGCCGCCGTATATCTTTAAGATTAACATGACGAAGAATCGAAGGTAACGTACGCGACCGCCGTCGTGGCTAAAGCTTCAGTTTAAAAGATCAAGATATATGCATAAAGACAATTGATGCTCAAAATTAATATTCTAGCGGACTTTTTCGCTTACTCGCTAGTTCAATGAAAAAATCTGTAGGTATATCAATAACACAGTAGTCTACACTTGTTTTAGGTCAACATAATTAAATATAAAATATTTATATAGGTATATGGAAAATAAAGCATTGTTTACCTTTCTTTATATTTTGGGTTAAGTTGAATTTACTGCATGACAATTTATTCAGTAATTTCATGAAACATTTATTTTTACTAATTTATTTATGTATTAAAACATATTGTACTTTACATGCTAATAACGTGATAGATATTACGACAGACAAATATATAAAAACTAAATATAATACTTACTGGTTAAATTGCGAAATATATTAGTTAATTTCTATTTAACAGCTTTTGGATTGTCATTTATTTTTCGCGTTCAATTATATTCAACTTTTATCAGATCTTTTGTTGACCTGACTTATTTTCTTTAAGCGGATATAGTGTGGATATTTAATATAACTATCTTTATAGAACTTTTTCTAACACAAACTTGCCGCAGAACATCTTTCTCTCGCCTCTTATCACCGAGGAATTTATCTTTCAGGTCTGCTGTTCCGAGTTCCCTCCACTCAGTTTCAACTACTACATTCCTTATAAAGACAAACCTGTACTGCCCAAAGAGTGTGGCCGCATTTACGAAGCACCTAGCGATAGTTCTGTTGCTGGGCTTTACGAGTTTCCGTGGATGACCCTCATAGCTTATAGAACACGTAAGTAAATGTACCCCACTACGAGAGCAAAATAAAGGACGATGTTTAAATAAAATACATTTAATTCGAAATTAACTGGTTCACTTATTGACCATTTATACTACGGCCCGACGTTTAGGATGCGTTGCAGCAGCCGTGGTCACGAAACGTCGGGCCGTAGCTGTGGCCCTTTCAAAGATCGAGCTAGCGCAAGCAAGGCTGTTTTATTTTTTTTCTATTAAACTTACACTTAATAGAATTACATACACATAAGCATATCTGTCCCACGCCCCACAAAGAAGGAAAAATTTGACAAAACAGTGAAGCCATGTAAAGGTATTACCAAATTTCAGCCAACGGCCTGGAATTCAAATGTGGTGGGACCATTATAAGTTCAAGGTATATCCTCACCGCTGCCCATTGTATCAATAGGAATGTGGCTTCTGTCCGGGTCGGTGAATTAAATATCGATACAGCCCTAGACTGCGCTGATAAATTGATAAGTAATATCTGTGAAGAACATACACAGGTAAGTTATTTAGTCCCTGGTGCAGATAAGTTAAGATTAGATAGAGTCGAAATTTCTTTTTCAACGATTACGCGGTCGCTGGTGCAAAGGTCGCAATATATGGCTAATAATCAACGAGTCTGGTTCGATTTCCACCATGTCCAATATTTCACGCAAAATATGGACATTGAAACTGTGAAGTATCGCAATTCTGTCGGGCAATCTTTCTTTTCTTATCTTTTGGCATTCGGCATTCATCTCACGAATGACACCTATCTTTTTAGCTCTTCGTCTATGGAGTTTGGATCATGATCGGGATAGTATTTCAATTCCTAAAACTATCCTAATATAAATTCATTAAAAATATGGACCCCATTAAAATTGAAAGCGCCATTGAAGCCATAACATTAGACCCCCGAACCCAGCTAAGCTTCAATGTGGTGGGTAGGATTATCGAAATTCCGTCCATCTCACCAACATGCTTATCTATTCTTTGTCATAAAACAAATTACGGATCTTATCAAGCGGCGTCCCTCCAGTATTTATCAGAAAGAAAAAAACTTCGACATTCTACCATTCTCTCTAAACAACCAGCTGAGCGAAGTCTTAGTGGTTCCACTATTTGGTTGATATTAAATTAAAACTTATTAATGTATCTTTTATAAGAGCTTCCAAACATTATTAAAAAACAGATTAATTAACAAATTTCACGTATATTATAGAATATAAAAGTCGAAGATGTGATTCCTCATCATCTTTTCTCCGAGATTACCTTGGTACATGACATCGCTTTGATAAGAGTGATGGAGGATATTAATTTCGATTTTGGTAAGTCTTTTGAAGAAGGAGAAATTGAAAGATGCGCGAGAGGTGCATGTATCAGATAAATAGATAGTCTAATTGCTTAGACTCTCACCGTTAGAGAAACAGCAGGAACGTCGTGGATGCTGCTTCAAGTCCTGCCCAAGTCGTAATTTTTTCAATTTATAATCGTTTTTTAAATTATATAGATATATATCTACTATAAACCACACAAATACAATAAATAATAAGCCAAATGTTTGTGGTTTACGCGAGTAGTACCCATTAAAATAAATACGGCCCGACGTTTCGGATCTGACCCCGTTAGTGTCGGGCCGTAGTTAAAAGTAAATAACAAATTCGCATTTTGAACCGTTAATAGTATTGAATTTAAAAGTTAAATAAATAATGCTCTTAGTTTTACCTTCTATAAAATAAATAAGTAATAATGTTTTAGCTAATGTAGCCGCCGTCTGCTTGCCCTTGGCAGACGAGTTACGCAACAATTCCTTGGATAACCGTAACGGTACAGTTGCTGGTTGGGGACAGACACAAGTCAATAGCTTCTCTTCTATTCTGCGAAAAGTCAACCTTCCTATCCACAGCCGTTCGAGATGCGACAAATTCTATAAGGGGTAATTAATCTTAAGTTATTTTAAAGACAGAGGAATACAGACACCTAGGGGTTCAGATGGTGGAAGGGGATATACCTCAGCTACAGAACAGCTTAACAGTTGTCAAACTTTTTTGCCTTTAGTCATTCGGTAATTCAGAGAATGAAGCCAAAACGCAACTACAAGCTTTTTATCTGCAAGGGTTGGTTCCTGATTCGGACGGTATTTAGATATTCCTACCACTATCCAAATATAAATCAATTGGAAACATTTTGGACCCTATAGTAATAGACCAATGAAACCGGCAAAACTTCAATAGCCCCACCGTGGGGTAGGAATATTGAAATTCTGCGCAATTCTGAACCACCGTCCACAGTTGAAAAATTGGTAAGGTTTGATAAAGTTTACCCCATACTTAAAAGTTATTAATTATTGTGGGTTTTCGGAACGTACGCTGCAAAAACGGTTTATGATATCCAAAAATATGTCGCAAAGAATGATTCCTCTTTAATTTATCTAAAAAAAAAGTCCACTACACTATGTTTCTATCTTACGACGGGACGCGACGGACGTCGTGGGTTTTTTGGATGCCCAAAATAACTATTCTTCTCAGACGAATTCACTGACACAGCTAATTGTATATAACCCTTCTAGTGATTAGGCTAAATCTCTTAGCATGTAAGAACTATTTCGTGAGTTCGATATTAATGCACTAAAAGAGAGTAGCCGCCAACGACTTCCCACTCTCCCTGTGTGGGGGCTAGAACATCATAACGCGAAATGTAAACAATATTTTTTGTATAATTAAATAAATACCTATTTGTTATCCTGTACACGGGTTTAGGTTAGAGAACCAGTTCTGTGCTGGAGAAGTGAATAAGGACTCTTGCAGCGGAGACTCAGGCGGGCCCCTGATGCTTCAAGAGGACTACAACGGAAAAAAGCGTTACGTACAGTACGGAGTAGTCTCTCGGGGTCCAAGAATTTGTGGGACTTCTGTCCCAGGTGTGTACACTGATGTGAGGAAGTACATTGACTGGATATTATTAAATGTTAAAGAATAAAAAATTGGTACCTCAGATCTTTCATTTTTTGACACCGTTCTTTTATCACCTAAAAACTATGGGTGGGCAAAGGGAGATCCAGGCCCCCTAGACCTAAAACACTTGAAGAAGCTTTGGTTCAGGCAAGCATCTCTCCCAAAATTCTTCTTTTTTAAATATGTTTGGGACCAGATACCTATAAGTTAGTACGTAGAGTGTAGAAGTAGTAGGTAGTTAGAACTTGTTGTAGAATTAGATACTGTCTGTAGTTAACGTGAGTGGTACTTACTTACTTATTTGAAAAGGAAGAGTTCCCGTGACCACGGCTGCTGCAATGCATACGAAACGTCGGGCCGTTGTTAAAATAATTTTCAAATAAGTTTAACTAAACTCGCGTTTTTACAGACAGTACTTGATAAATAAACACTTATTTGTAACCTTCCTTCTTTTGACAGAATAGGACACACCTCCTAGCATGGTACCGTAATTATCTGAACGACAGGACTTACACTGTTAGAGTATGTAACACGGATAGTGATCCAGTAAGCGTAACTGAGGGAACAGCCCAAGGCTCAGTTTCTGGATCTTTGCACATTCTTTCTTACGTAAACAGTCTGCCAAACGCAATAAAGCAATGCGAAATATTTCAGTTCGCAGATGACACTTGTCTTAAGAGCGCCGGATCAATAGTAGGAGAGGCCATGAAGAAACTTCAAAACGAATTTAACGTCCTTTTAAAATGGTCACACGATTTCGGTCTAGTCCTCAATACTAAAAAAAAAAAAAAAAATGCACATTCGATCCAATCGAAATCGTTCGCCTAGCTACAGCACACCTCAAAGGGCTAATAGCCCACGAAAATTTTTGCTTCCATAGAGGGGAATACGACGACTTTTCTTGTAAATGTGAAGCTATAGAAATTGTGGATACACATACTTACCTTGGACTCATTATTGAGTTTTTCCAACTGAGGCGATTCTCAGTTGGAAAAACCACACAATGCGGTGTGCGACAAACTTACCCCTAAGGCCCCTATTGGCCAAGTTTGCAATAATTCAACACAAAACACTCTTGCTTTTATATCAAGTGCTGGCCGAATCTATAATAACGTACGGTCTGACTAGCTATGGAACAACATGCAAATCTAATCTCGACCGTATCTTCTCGTTACAACTTCGAATATTAAAAAAAAATGTTCCAAGCAATCTGAGACGTAAACACAACATGGATTATCGCGGACTCTTCGGAATGTGCGGAGTCATACCAATTCATGACAAAAACTGAACTGAAGCTTTTAATGGAAAATTATTTCACCGACAATTATTGCTAAGAACTGGCAACATTCACAGGGCACGAAGAAAGCATAATATTAATCTTCCAAAATTTAACAATTAACATGTATTCTCTCTCTTTATAGATAAGATAGTAAATTAAAAATTCATTTTGTTAGAGCAACATAACGAAACGCTGTGAACGCCGTTTCAAGACCTGCCCGGGTCGTAATTTTTTTTTTAATTTATAATCGTTTTTTTATTTATGTATTACATTTTTTTTTTAATAAAAAGAAAAATTTTAAAGTTTCCCATGGATAGTACAAGAATGATCAACCAACCAACATACATCTTTGCTATACCATATAAATACCTAAAGATTAAAGTTTTGACGTATATGACCGCGGGTTCAATTAGGTAATTTATAAATAGTTAGCGCCCTATTGAAACTTAGTAATAAATTATATTTCCAATATAATAGACGTTCGCGGTTAACAAAATGTTCTTGCCAAAACTTATTATAACACTTTTCGTGCTGGGAGTCAGCGGATCAGATTTCGAGCGTGAGTTTGTTTTTCTTAACATAAAAAATGTAAATATGCAAAGCGCTCCATACTTGGAAAGTGCAACAGACATTTTTGTGTGGCATCGGCGAAAAAAAACAAAATCTTCTCTGAACATAAATAGACTAAATACATAATTATTTGTTAAAAATTAGCGGAAAATTATTCTCAGGGCATTGTCGTGATTGTATGGTGTATACATCATGTTCATCTGCCAAGGAACGTGTTGCAAAGTACCAAAACCAGGATACGCTAAATCTGTTCGAGAGAGCTAATTGCGGTTACGAAGATACGAGACCAAAGGTATAGTTTAGTAAATTAGGTCCAGCACATACACGCCAAAAGTCTTTTAGGCGGTTCATAATGCGACATATAGTTAGTTAAGTGCCTAGAGCGAAGAATTCAAAAATAAAATGAGAATTTTACGCGTTTTAAACCGTTAAGTGCTATAAAAAAACTAGGCCAGCCAAGCAACCCTTGCCAATTTTTATATTGGCTAATCCGTATTTTATTTAATAGTGTACTACTCGCGTATACAACAGACAATGTTTTTTTTAACAAAACACTCTCACAGTCTCCCCGTGACCGCGGCTGCTGCAAAGCATCCGAAACGTCGGGCCCTAGTTAAATATAATTTTCAAACAAGTTGAACTAAAATATATCGCATTTAAACCCGTTAAAATATTTAATTTATTTAATGTATACTCGCGTAAACTATAAGCTGTATGTTTATTTTTGAAGGTATGCTGTTCCGACTTTCGTGTAAGTGCTCCAAGTTTTCAAAATAGAGCAGCGAGTACTGAAGATTATTATAACAAAGAAATTATTTACGAGGAAGGGGATGAGGACGCTCAAGAAACCACCGAGGAACCCGTAATAAGATCCCAATATCACATTGAAAATATAACATCTACAGACAATAGCGAGATGTCACCAGAAATGACAAACAAACTTCGCCTTTTAACAAATTACAACTGTGGTCAGATTCTTGGTCGCCGTATAGTTGGGGGCACTAGAGCGGAACTGTATGAGTTTCCCTGGATGGCTCTTATCTCTTATAAAACAGGTACGATCTCGTAAATTCATTTTACCAGGAAGGGTGAAAAGTACACTTATACACTTATTTGTTTGTTTAGGAAGTTCACATTTAAACTACATAGTCATTTTTGTCGGGCTCGTAAAAGTTTTCTGAAACATGTTAGATTTCGACCTTAATTTGAGTATTAAGTGGGCGGTAGGAACATTGATATTCCACCAGAGGTATGAATTCAATGCCAATGTCATAGTTTAATCAGGTTCTATTATAATCTGTGGATAAGTAATCGAGTCAATTCAATTCAATTTCCGATTATCCAAAGTAATCTTGTTAGAGGTGTTATATGGCTGGGATATTTTAACTTTCATGAAGTGAATATATATATAATAAAGTTTACAAAACGTTAGAAAAATATTTTCTTATGATTTCCCTCAGACCACTCTTGTAACTTAAATGCTATGTAATAACAGTATTTCCACCTAACCTTTTATAAAGGTATATTTGTTTTCCAGTCGATGACCTAGATTTTTCATGTGGAGGAAGCATTATTAGTTCCCGTTACATCCTAACTGCTGCTCACTGCATCACGCCGCACATACTTGGGGTCAGAGTCGGAGAATATATCATCAATGATGATGCCCCAGATTGTAATTTTGATGGCAGTATATGCAGTCCTCCGTATATAGTAAGATCAATTTATTATCAATATATCTAATTACCAAGCTACCGTGAGATTCTCTACGAGTGTTTATTATTCTAATATTTAAATATAATCATAATCTATGTAGTAGTTTACCACGAATATAACGGGATACACGAATAACACGGGAATATAAACAACATTGAACCCCTATTCTTACAAAGTATGCACACACTTTCAATAACTTTTATTCTCTTTAGGACCTGGGTGTAGAGTATTCGAGTATAATCGTTCACGAGCATTATAATCCTGACGACAAATCAAATGATATAGCGTTGATTCCCTTGCTTGAGGATATCGACTTCACTCAAGGTAACTATTAGCAGGTACCGGTATTATTTTTATCTTAACGAGATAAAAATAAAAAGTAACAACTTTATCCAGTCTACACAACATATTAAAGGAAAACAAGCTAACCGCACTGACATTTTACGTACTAAAGTCGGAAAAATGTGCCTGTGTCAAACAAAAATCGAATTGCTAAGTCAACGTTTATAAACACCTAATCAGAATCTAAAATAACACTTAAAGTAATTAACAAGTTAATTTTCCACGTATAAAAGGGTAGCTAGTTAAGATAGCAACATTTGAATTAAAATTGGCAGTAGATATTATGCAATTGTTTTAGATAATTTAGCACCTGTCTGTTTACCCATCACCGAAAGATTACGATCCAAAGATTTATCCGGAAAAGAAGTCACTGTTGCCGGCTGGGGAGTCACGGAAACGGGGAAAAAAAGCGGCTACTTGCTTAAAGTGAATTTAAAGGTGCAACCTGAAGATACGTGCAGAAAATATCATAGGTTTGACTTTGTATATTCTTAGAAGTACCTAGATTTATTATTCAACGATACTTATGGGGTATTGAAAGATCTGTCAGGTTGTATTGGAGTTCATGGCCAGCAGACTGTCAACCGTTTAAGAAATAACTGAATGCTCTTCAGGGTCTAAATCTCCTACTGAAATAGCAATTATTGTCATTGGATGTAGAATTTATGTAAACAAAACTCTCGCATGATTTTATTCAACAAAAGAAGCAATAAAAAAGGAGGCATGATTCATTAAACATTGTTTATTTGTTATATAGTTAATATAATATTTGATATCTATACTAATATATAAAGCTGAAGAGTTTGTTTATTTGTTTGTTAAATATGTTCACAGCACGATGATTTGCGCCGGCTCCGGTGACGGGAGAGATTCTTGCGGCGCAGACTCGGGGGGACCTCTCATGTTCAGCAGTGAATATTATGGGTCGACCCGATTCGTGCAATTCGGTCTCGTATCCTATGGGCAAGTGAGATGTGGATCTGACGTCGGCTATTACACAGATGTTAGGCAGTACATTGACTGGATACTGAGGAACATCAGGGAGTGAAAAAGCGAAAGAATTAAACAGATTACAATAGTGATTAGTTTTATTTGTCCCATCAGACTGAGGTTCTTTACTAACGTTCCTAACCACGCTCATGGAAATCGTCTTGGTAGAAGACTTTTTTTATTTTACTCATGCAATTGATTGATTGCGTATTCATTTTACCTTAAATAACAAACGTGTAACAAACTTAAATTCAAGAGAAGTAATCAGTGAATACACTTACCTAAATATATTTCACATTCTGTTACAATTTTCTTATCATTGATTTTGTTACTTTCTAAAACCAAAAGATACCTTTCCCATGATGATGATTGAAAAGCAAGTAATTTTAATCAGCAACGACTTGAAACTTTTTATTCTCTTATGATAGTTAGTAAAGACAGCGGGTATGGCCGCTCTCGTATTTATGGAAGAAAAACCAAGGAATAGACAGTAGTTCGTTCAAGCTAAAATCGCACTACATTATTTTTACTACTACTAACACTGCGAGTATGAATGCCGAGTTAAGTCCTGTCCTTGTCATTGATAATAGATTTTTTAATCTACACCACTTAAAAATAGACAATTATACATATATACAATATAGATACGAAAGAATGCTTATAATTAATTTTTAGTAATTTTTTGAATCTTAACGGTAGGGTCTAAGATAAGTTCATTTAATCACTATACAAAAAATACAATATTTTATACGATTACAATAGATAAATGGACATAAAGAATATTCTTTATGTCCATTTATCTATTGTAATACTTTACTATATAGTAAAGTAATGCGTTTTACAAAATGTTAATTGTTTTTTATATCTGTTATGCACTGCACACAGGCTGCAATTTAGTTGTGCCAGCATAACTCGATTTTTTTAAATTCATTAACTGTAAAACTCCTTGGTATGAAAATCGAGAATAAAGCAGTTCAGTGTTTTCGTTATTTATCCTGTTTTCATGGGTTTGGCCCTGGAACGGATTTGTTGTTGTGTTTAGAGAATTTAGTGTTAGGTTGGTAGTTATATTTCTCCCTTTGCGCCAATTTACTGTATTGTTTGTGTCACTGTCTTGCTCACGACTAGATGGTGGATTTGTATAATTAGTATCTTCTGTGTTTAAGGAGTCATAAGCGAGCTCCATTTTATTACCGCTGTTATTTTTATATTCTACCCCTGGGTTTGTTGTATATTTAAGAACCGGTTTTCATCATAGACGTATCCTCATCGTTTCTAACAAAATCAATAAACATATCTTTCCCTCTTTATTCTCTTTTGAAGAGATACTATAGTTTTTAAATTTGTCTTTTTGTTCAATTTTGCTTGATTTAAAACGTCAGATAATTTTATTTTTACACCTCCTTCGTTGGTATGAAAATCTGGAATAAACTAGTTCAGCAAATTCGATATCTTCGTTGTTTATCCTGTTTTCATGGGTTTGGCCCTGGAGCGGATTTGTTGTTATGCTTTGGAAAACAGGTGTTGGGGAAGTTGACACTGGTTTAGACAGGCCGTTAAGTTTTTCATCTTTTTCCTTCTTCACCGATTTACTGTTTTGTTTATTTTTCTGTTCTGCTCACTGGATGGACCGCAGTGGATGTATCTAGTTCCTGGTGACTGGACTGGTGGAGTATCTTTTATTTTTAAGGAGTCATGTACGAGCTCCATATTATCTCCGCTGATAATTTTATCTTTTACCCTTGGGTTTGTTGTATACTCAAGAACCGGTAACTCTGTTTTCAGCATAGATGTATCCTCACCGTTCCTAGCAAAATTAATAAAAATATCGTTGTCTTCATTCCCTTTTGAAGAGTGTAAAATCGGAGTTGGTGTAGTACTCGAGTACACGGTTGAAAAAAGCTTCAACCGAATAAAACTCGGTACTCGTTACTCGGCGCATCTCTAGATAAACATTGCGAGATAAAAAATAAGTGAACATAAGCTTATTTAACTGCTATACAACAATTAATGCATTACTTTATACTTTTAGAATAGACATAAATTCAAGCTATTTCATTTCTAACTGCATGTATTTAAAATGAGGTCCGTGGAAATAATTATCATGGTAGATAGTAAAAAAAATATGTCTATTTCAAAATTTTAATTGCTTTCAATGTCTTGCATTAGAGGCTGCGATTTTGATGTGCCAGGATTTTTAACGCTTAACATATGAAATTTTGATATTTTATTCTTGGAACTCCTCCGTTGATATGAAAATCGGGAATACACTGGTTCAGTGAATTCGATGTCCTCGTTGTTTATTCTGTTTTCATGGGTTTGGCCCTGGAGCGGATATGTTGTTGTACTTTGAGAAACTGGTGTTGGGGAAGTTGACACTGGTTTAGACAGGCCGTTAAGCCGTTTCACGCCTTTCATCTTTTTCCTTCTTCGCCGATTTACTGTTTTTTTTATCTTACTCTTCTGCTCACTGGCCGCAGTGGATGTATCTAATACTCGGTGACTGGATTGCACTAGTGGAGTATCTTTTATTTTTAAGGAGTCATGTATGGGCTCCATATTATCTCTGCTCATAATTTTATCTTTTACCCTTGGGTTTGTTGTATACTCAAGAACCGGTAACTCTGTTTTCGTCATAGATGTATCCTCACCATTCCTAGCAATATTAATAAAAATATCATTCTCTTCATCCCCTTTTAAAGAGTGTAAAATCGGAGTTTGTGTAGTTTTTATATTAGTGATTTTGTCCGTATTTTTATTTAATTCATCGTCACTTAGAGTCCTACTTTCTGCTAGTTTTTCCTTCAACAAAATACTAAGTTGCTTTAAAGCGTCGGCTAATTTGTTTTTGTCCTTAATATTTTCATTTTTCAAGCAATCCACGACTGCCTGTGATAATTTTTCTGGCGTGGTGTCAGTCCACATTATACTGAGAAGGTGAGGTGGAGGAACAGGCAGTGCTTCTACCACTTCAAGCCATTGTGGTTTTTGTTCAAGAGTAGCTAAATATGGTAAGGGATAAAAACTGTGAGGGGAGTTAATAATACTTGTCTCGTCATCGTCGCCATCGTCACAATCTTCATCATAATAATCCTCATCATCATAACTTGTGCTTTCATCATCAAATTCTTGATAAATTATCTGGCCCAACGGGACTCTAAAATCTAACGGATGTAAGTAATGTTCGGAATCAAAGTCCACATTACTTGTCACAATAAAGGCTTCCGGTTGTTGACTGACAAGCACTGGTTTAATGCTTAATGGATAGGGCCCCATACCTTCAGTTTTAACCACGATTTGGAAAATAAGTGCAAATATCGCCACCTGCAATAGGAAAATACATATGAGAACAGCCAATCAAATTTTAATTAGCTATTACCAATTGCATTGCATTACTTTTTACTTTAACGGTTTAAAACGCACAATACATTTTACATAATATATATTTGCAGCACGACGACGGCTGCCGCCAAGCATCCCAAAGTAGGAAATTTATTGTTAATAACTTAACTAGCAATTTCGTATTTCAAATTGTTAATAGTGTTTTTAATTGAAATTGTATTTTAAAATAAGTTAATACAAACACATATAAATTATTTGAAATGTCATACTTACACGAATTGTTGCCATGTTATAAAATTTAAACTAAAATCACAGGTTACACTTTGTTCTAATGTTAATCCGAAGACGGCTTTTTTCATCTACTGTAAAATTATAATAACGAAGCCTTATAAGCCTTAAACTTAAAGATATCATTAACAAATGAGGTGAAACTAATCTATGATCATCGCGGCTTAACTAATCTTCACCAATAAGTTAATTCCTATAAATAAACCCTATATCTTACGTAAAATAAAACAAGTAATATTTTAAGTCATTTATTAATGATTACCACTAATGGAAGACATTGTGTATTAACCTACAGATTAAAATATCTGATTTACTTAAAATTAATTAGTTTTATTTTAACAAGCCGACAATGTTCTTAATATGAAAACGTTGGGATGTTCGAATGCTAAATACTAGAGAACGGCTAAACCGTTATTTATAAATTGTCTATGTAGACACATTACAATAATACAATTATTATACACAACATATTTGTTTCGTACCCACCAAAAAAATATAATACGTCCTGGATATTTAACGTATGCATTACAATCTAGGGTACTTTTCGGTCTAAAATACTTTAAGATAACATATTAATTTTAATTTGTTTTTTTTTTTTGTTTAAAATATGTTAAGCGCACCACGGCACGTCGGCGTCAAAGACATGTCTCGGAGGGTGCAAAGAATGATGCGACGCGTGATGGGGTTGAGGGGAGCCGTGAAGAAGTTCACACATGAAGCTTATATACGTGATCGCTAGCCGAAGAGTCTCTATTCGAGAGAGACGTTTCTCGTAAGCAAATGTTGGAACCTGAAAGAAAACTGTTTGTAGTGTGGGATCCTTTAATGGAACCAAAAACAATTCATAACCACCCCACACATCCTAGTGAGTTTCATCATAACATTGTTATCTATACCTACTAAAAAAAGTAGATCCCGCTTGTTTGCGACGCGCCAATCGCAGGAAAAAACATTTTTGTGTTGCCATTTGTCGAAGAAAAAGGTGAAAACAGTGGAAAAAACCGAAAAATTCATATCGAGCGCTTTGTTTAAAACAACAAAAAATATGTACGAAAGAATAATTCATCTTTAAATCTAAAACAATATCGGCGATATTACATATCTTTTAATATTAACTCGCAAAAACCGTTTTTATGAAAATCAATTTTGGTAAACATAATTATTGTCTTTGCTAGGGTTGTATGGACATATTATTCTTGTAAAAAACAAAACAACGTTTTCCGGATCCGATACAAAACAAACATGTTAATTTCGTTGTTACAAAATGAGGTAAAGTGAAATGAAGTGCCTAGATGAACTTGGTATAGACGAAAACGTAAAAATATCAAGCATAGTCAGTACTTTTCATAAGTAGTAGACATTAAAATAAAACACTTTTAATTGTTTAAAACTATCCCCCGTGATCCGTAATGAAAATAAATAATTTACCTAATATATGGTTTATTCAAACCGTTCAAAGTGTTTTATTTAAACGAGAAAATATTTCACCATACCTTTCTCCTCAGTTTATCGAAGGCTTCATTCAGATTGAACATTCGGCGTCGTTCGCGGATGTTAGCAGCTCGACGTTGAGCAATGGATGCGACCCGACGGCGTGGTTTCTTGCCGCCAGGGGTCGAACGAGCCCCACGGCCGCATCCTGCCGCCGACCACACTAAAGAAACAAGAAAATATACAAAGTAAAGTGCGATTCCTTTAGTTATTTGAACCGAACGCTATTATCGTGGATTCAAGTCTCGCTTGCTAAACAGATTTAGTTCGTTTAAATAATATAAGTATAGCATAGCATTCAGACAACACGGTAAAAGTAAAAAAAATATTATTAGATGTTGCATTATTATACATATATTCTCACTCTATCATCCTTACTAATTATTATTATAAATGCGAAAGTCACTATGTCTGTCTGTCTGTTACTCTTTCACGCCAAAACTGCCGAGCGGATTTTAATTAAATTGGTACACAGATGGCCTAGACCCTGAGAAAGGACATAGGCTTTTTATTGCGAAAAGGGGGTTGTAAGGGGGGGGTGAAAGTTTGTATGGGAATTCGTGATTTTTGAAGCCAGAACAGTGAAACTTTTTTCTTTGGAGTGGAAGTGGAAGTGAGAGTTAGAGTGGGAGTTAGAGTAGGAGTGATGTGAGATGAGAGTGTTGCGGCAAAATAGCACTTACAACATAGATTGGCTGCGATAAATGCGCAATGACGAAGCAGGATAAAGGCTAGTGAATGGATTTTTCATGAGGGAGGATGCTAAACAAGCATGGGGCTGTAGGTTTTGCACCCATTTTAATCAGTGATGGAATGGGTGTAATACGTTGGCTTAATATTTTGCCATTGGATATTCAGAAATCCATGGCTATTTTCATCTGTGGACGATGGTTCGTGATTTGGACGGAATTTCGATAATTCTACGACTCATTTAATATCCAAATTTCCAGACGATTTCAACTTCCATAGTCCAAGTGACTTTTGGCACATTCCTGCTCAACGAGAACGTCAAAATGGCAGAGTATATATAATAGATATAGTAGTCTCTAATACGAGGCCGCTAGAGATAGAATAGCGTAACTGCAATTCAATGACTTCTTTAAAAATAATAATACAAATTCATTTTCGCCTAAACTATGGCGCATTTATATTTTAGGCGAAGCTGAATTATTTTCTTTCTTAATCATGTTTTTTGTTATTGGACCACTCTGCCTTTAGCATCTTTATATAATCTTACCAAGGTCGGCGGGTGGGAACGCCAGGATGTCTGGATAAGGCACTGGCGCTGGTGGAGCGTCCCACAAGGGTCCGTAGGGAGATACTTCGCCGCCCTACGAAATACCACTTTGTAAATCATCACACACATATCTTTCTTGTTTTTAAAATCACGACGGAATTCACCAGGGTAATTTTCATGTCTTTAGACGTTTTTCGTTCATTTTGTATCTGTAATATTGTTTTTTATACTTAACCGAGAAATAACTTTTTTATTGAGCCATGGTGCTGGCTATTTCATCTCCCATCAAGTGAACGTGATGGGAGGTAAAACACCGCAGCCATATAACATCTGCACAAGATGCGATGTGGACCTATTTTGTCTTTGGATATCACCTCGGATACCCTGAGGTCTTTCTTCTACATCTTTAAATTTTTGTTAATTTGTTAATGATATATCATAGGCAGTTGCCTCAACTCACTGAAGAGCCACTCCAAATGTGCGGCGTCTCACTGCCGTAGGACATCAGCGGGAAATGAATCTTGATACCTGATCCTTACACTGGCGGTGAAACAAACGGCTTATCTTCGCCACGGCACGTAAACTGCACTATGGACGGGGTTGAACTGAATCAAAATTAATATCACTCATATCTAAGCAATAAAGAGAATTATTAAAATTGTAAACCATTGAAAAGTAATCCTTAATACTATCAGGGCAAAGTTGAATTTGAAAGTTCTAACGATAACCTACCCTTCGTATTTCTGGCGCCAGTTTTCTTCTCCCTGATTGGATCCAAGCGGGGTGGTAAAAGGGTGGTCTTTGCTCATTGGCTGCAGCTGGTCATGTAGGCGTGGCCATTATTGACGTAATTTTCAGGTTTCCACGCAGATAAAGTATATCTAGTTATTAGATGATAAATACTCTTCTCTAGATCAGTGGTTCTGTTCAAGGCGAAAGGCGAATCCCAGTAAAGAAATAGTCGAAGTAGTAGGCTTCAAAGTTTGATAAGCTCCTAGCTCGTGTATAATTTCTATCTGTTTAACAGAGACAAAACGAATCTACTCCATGTCCTAAATATGGGAAACGGGATTTCGCGTAAGACAATATAAAACTTACCTTATTGAAATGGTACCTTTCACTGGCAATCGATGTTAATAAAGCCAAGTGGGTTAAACTTTTGCTTTGAAAGCTTTGTTTTGAAAGCTTTGCTTTGAAAGCTTTGTTTTGAAAGTTTTGCTTGCTTTAACAAGATATTATTTTAAAAGAAAAGCGTTATTAGTATGATTAGAGAGACACATATTTCTTCAACAAGCAACAGAGAGGCCGAAGCAAAAAAAAGTTTCAAGTGTCTCACTGACACATTTACTTTAAAATAATTACAACGTGCCTGAGATCTTTTATTTCCCATTCTAGGGTTCCTATAGCATGGCGGGTCAAAATCACAGAATTAGATCTCCGTTTCAAAGTTCAATTGATTAAAACTTCAAACTGTACCTTGCCCGACATGAACCATTTCTTCGCCATTTGAAACCAGATCCTCTAACTGCGAGCTACAGAGGTCATCGTAGTGTCATAGATGTACTTATCTTCAATCTCCCATTTAATGGAAATTAATTTTCATCGGACGCAATGACAAGTGCAAAATATTCCTCAAAAATAATTCTATTGATTGCTCTATCGCAACTTGAGGCGTGACCAGCAAGGGTCGTGGGCAGATGGCGCATTTGACACGGATTCAGCTTATTAAGGATATTTGTCACTTTTGACACAAATTTGGAGCAAGTGAAGTAAATCACAAATTCACCCCATACAGGGGTGTTTAGCGATTGTTATAATCCTTTGTTATATTTTTGGACATTTTCATATAGAAGATGCCCAGTGGTAATTGCATTGTTACGAATACAAAATATAAAGAATAATTTCTCCCCGTAACCACGGCTACTATATAGAGCCGGAAACGTCGAGCCGTAGTTAAATTAAAAATAAGATAGCTAATACGTGTCGCCTTTAAAACCGTTAAAAGCGGTTTTATTTAAATGTGTAATGTGTACTGGCGTAAACTACAGACAATGTTAATAAATCATTATTACTCACTATACCATATTTAGATCAAAACAGTTGTATGATAAATAAGGGATAATGGAAAACAAACAGTATATTCATTTAAATTAACAGTGATTTTTCAAAACTACCACAAAAGTCCTTATTAGGCGAGGTTGAGGTCTGATATTACTGACTCATTGGTTTTCCTGACACAATATCGTAGCAAATATACACTATGTGTGTGTCACTAATAATACAAATAATAATTCTAACTCGTTAAATTACGCGAAATAAACTTTTATTTTTAATTATAAATTTAAAACAACATTATTTAGGCATTTCTCCATGTATTATTTCAAGTTTTATAATAAATAGCGTGCATACCTATTGTTATCAGGCACATAACTTAATTAAAACACATTAACAGTTCAAAACGTTACATATAAAACTTATTTAAAAATTATTTTAAGTACGGCCCGATGTTTCGGATGGTTTGCAGCAGCGGGGAGACTGTCAAATAAGTTTAACTAATATAAATCGCGTTTTAACCCGTTAAGTCGTTTATTTCAATGTTCTCGCGTAAACTAAAGGCAATTTTCATCAATACAGTAGTAGTAGCTTAAATCATGTTTCATTTAATACCTCATTATACTAATAAAATATTGTTTATTTGAACTATTTTGGTTTGATTTGAACCTCAGCCTTCCTTCCTGTGGTTGTTTTTCGTAGCTATTTTAAGCTGTGTAACATAGTCTTGTCATATTTAATAAGTTAATAATAAATAAAGTTTTTAAAGCAATACATTATGCCCATTATAAATAATAAGTAATTCGTAACATTTTATAAGTCAGAGTGAATCCATTTTTTATTCATTTATTTTTATTTATATAACACATACCATAAAACAAAACATGTACTAATATTGTTGAAAAGTATGTTTGTTTGAACGCTAATCTTAGGAAGTGGGTTCAAATCGAAAAAATATTTTTGTTTTAGTTAGACCATTTATCAAGGATGGCTTTGAGCTACCTAACATCACACGACGACCAAAAATGTGGAAGAAATGGGAAAAATAATTTTTGAGGACATTCCTTCGTGTGCTGCGAATGCCATTCATAAAATCATTAAATCTCATGTAATAGGATGATATAGATCCTCTTAAAACAATCTTAAAGAATGTCCGCAATGGTATAATATGTCTATCTTTAAGATATCTCGTAAGAACGACGGGACGCGACGTTGAGGATACCAGCTATAATTTAAAAAGCTAGAGGTATTTATTTATTTATTATTGCTTTATTATTTATAAAACACACCACAGAAAATACATATTAATGAGGAAAAAAATCTTACTAACTTATACATAAAAGGCGGCCTTATCGCTAAGTACCGATCTCTTCCAAAGATCTCTTCCTGAAGTGCAGGATAAATAATCAAAGGTACACAGTGAAAGTACACACAACGAGTAGGAGAGAAACTAACTTAAATACTGGAAACGCAAAACAGAGAACTCTTAGGTTAAAATAAATTTTACTCCCCGAAACTATTCCACGCGGACGATGTCGCGAGCGCAGCAAGTACATTTATAAAGTAACAGTACTCCTCTTTTTCGCATCGACGATTAAAAGAGCAACTGATAGTACTCACCCCAAGGAATTGAGGGATAATCTGTATCAAATTATGCGATTTAGCAAAACATGTCATCCGAATTATTCGCTTGAATTAGAGAAAGGGGCGACACAAAGTGGGGTGGGGAAACCGCACGTGGCAGGGGCTAAATATGTTTTGATATTTAAATACAAGAAACACTGTTTATAGGCCCGTTGGTCCGGTGGTAACAATGTACCACACAAACAGAGCTATCTAGCTTTCTATCTATATTGAAAAAAGTGTGTAAAGAATTTGTAACATAAACGTTCGTTCTACGCCCTTATTTGGGAACTGGAGAAATGTGAATTTTGGTTATTTAACACATTAAAGTTTATAAGTGTACTTAATTACCTATATGAATAAATAATTAAAAAACAATGGTTTGTGGGTTATATTCCAAATTTATCCAAAGACTGGATTTCAAATAAAACACTCTAAACCATTTATAGCATAAAAGTTAACTTATTTTTACTTTATTTTACAAATACCCGGCGTTGGTCAAGAATGGCACAAACTCACTTGTATATCTGTACTCTGTAGTTTGCGTAAGTGATTGAATTTATTTTTAAGGCAGGTATTAATACCGGACCAAAGACGAACCAGGTTCTCCATGGCAGGTTAACACCTAAACAAAGCGCGCTGTCGTTCAATTTTAGCTTTTGGCAAACTAGACTTTTTCACCCGTGACTGTAGCTCTTTTGCCCGGACGGAAATTCGATATTCTTATCACCATCCAGATTTTAAAAAGAAATCCTACACGTTTCAGAAAAATATATTGATTACAAAAATGTAAAACCGGGTGGGGAGCGAACCCACCCGTTTTTATTAGCCACACGTTGCTACCATTATACAAACGCCAAGATTCGAATCTGCCACGCATAACGCATTTAACTGTTGAATCTTCGTGATTCAATAATATAGTCCAAATATATTTCAATCGGGACATGGGGATTTCCTGTCAGGCTGAACTAAAACGATAATACCATTTTAATTAAACGGAACCAAAGTTGATGCGTTGACTTATGCTTCGTGCACCCCCCTTTAGTTGCAGCGCCCTCGTTCTATTATATTAATAATTTTCTTTTTAGCGTTTTGTTTAATCAAAACTTATGAGCACTGATAACCATGGCTTTTATAAATTATTTAAACAAAATATAATTTTGACGGGATCTCTGACAAAGAATAAGGCAAGAAAAGGTATGGATCAATTTAGCAGTTCTTTTATAATATACTAGCTGTGTCAGCGACTTCGTCCGCGGGAGTCGTTATTTTGTGTATTAAAATTCGTTTTTGCATACCCCTTTATAAACTTAAGCCGTCGCCCACGACGTCGGTTGCGTCCCTTCCCGTCATTCTTGCAAATTAATCTGAAGAGGTATGCATATAGCGTCGGGGACGTTTTTTAGATAATTAAAAGAGGACTCATTCTTTAAAACATATTTTTTGGTATTACCCGTTTTCGCAGCGCACGCCTCGGAAACCCATAATGATGTATAATTTTTCCACTTTCTTCGCTCATATTAACCACAGCTAAATTAGCGCTTACAAACAAACTCTTCAGCATTTAATCTCTTAACAATTATGTTAAATAAAACCAAAATAATGCATAATCTTTTATTCATATTAATCCGTGTTTAGTGCATTGTTTAATTCAATCTTATCGCTAATTACATTATGTGTACGGAAGAGACATTTGTATACAAAAAAACACAAAATAGTCTGATTACAAAGATACATACAGAAAAAAAGTGGAATCTATTAAATATTACATTTAATATACATCTTAATTCTTATATTTGTTTATTGTGATAAAGATTTTATTATCTAACAGTGAAGATTACATAAAAAAAAGTTAAACAAGATCTCTTATGTAAGCTTAAGTGCTATATACCTTTGTCATTATATTATTTATTAAACCATATCATTCGTCGCTTTTACGCGTTTCCGCCGATGTCAAGAACTTTCCTTGAGTTTCCCATTTTCGTTAGCTTTGGTGATTCGCTCCATTACTTCGTGGTTGTACGTCGAGTGTAACATCAAACCTAGGACGCCAGCTCTGAAATTATATAAAGGCATTCATTTCACATGGTAGCTTAAATTCAAAATCGACACAAACATCAGTGTACCGCGTAATTGCTTTTAACATCTCAGTAGAGTCCCTTTCGCAAAGACATGGTGCAGCCAAACTTACACATATCTTCAAGACAATGTCGCTTGGCATGTTATAAACAAATTTGCGAAATTACATTAAAAACGGTCTAGTAATTTAGACGTAGGACTTTTTGTAATATATATTTAATAATAACTGAGTTATTAATTTTAAAACTAATTGAATTGTTTCTCGAAGTAGATTTATTACCAGTGCATTGAGCACATGTAACTTTAATATTTAATTTAGCCCTTCTCTTTCAACACGCGTCTTTTTTAATAGTAGAGGAGGACAGACTTGATGGGACGTAAAATACCCGAGCCATATAACATCTACACAAGATGTGCTGTCGATCTATTTTGTACTAAGCTGTACGCACCTAGACGCCATAGCGAGCCTAATACTCCGCTCCTGTTCCACCAGCTCGTCCAGACGGAGCCACTGGCGCACGCGCTCCATGTCTACTTCCGCCCTTCTCAACTTCTCCCATTGGTAGTGCTTCAGACATGATTTTTTCGGTGCCCGACAGAACTCGCCCGTTGGGTCAAACACGTTTCTGACTAGAGGACAACCGCATACGTCCGTATCGCTCACTTTAGGATCTTTGAAGTGTTCCGGGCACATTACCTAAAACAACATACATTTAATATTAAATCCCGTTTCCGTGTGGCATAGGACGGACACACAACAGTCTGTTTCACTGATTGCTTGTTTTAAAAAATATAGTCAATCAGACTTATGTGCCCTGCCTGACTATTGCCGATCTATTGTTTCCCTTGGATTCGAAGCCAGGACCTCTGGTGCTTAAAGAAGGAATTTAACTTGAAAGGTCTCGGCGAACTTAATGTAGGCGGTTTAAAAGAACTAAATGAAAATCTCTAAGGCGAGATCACGAAAAGTCTAGAAAACGTAGTAAGGACAATATAGGCATCTCATCTATAGTGGCAAATACATATATATATTTTTTAATATTAATTTTTTACTGAATATTGGTGACTTATTAAGAGTTCCAATAAACAGACACAAATGTGTGACTCACCCGCAAACGCTTGCAGTAGGTCCCATTTCCCGGATTGTAGTAATCGCAGAACATGCTCTGTCCGTCTATGCGCGTGCGATGCCGGCTTCCGAACGACGCCTGCGCCTCGTATTTGACGAAGCACTTCTCCATGTGTTTAACTGCTGTGCGCGAGTGAATTTCGTGACCACACGTCACACAGTACATTGATGTTTCATCATCCAGTTCCTAAAAATACAAATTTATTAATAAGTGAAAAACAGTTTTATTTTAAGCCAAAATTTCAAAAATGTATAACCTTTTCTGGGAGAAACAAGAAGTACACAACACTTTCATTTAAAATATGCATATTTATTTAAATAAAACACTTTCACGGTTTAACAACGCGATATCTATATTAGTTAAACTCATTTGGAGACTATTTTATCTTCGGCCCGACGTTTCGGATGCTTCGCAACAGCCGTGGTCACGGGGAGCCATAGTTAAATTTAGTATAATCGGCATTTTAAACCATTAAAGTGTTTTATTTAAATGTGGGTAATTTTTTTAAACCTGATCATTGAAATTTAAGAGATCCTCCACAAATACAATAACTCCATGTATATACCTTTTCATCACTGTGCTGTATTGTAGCATGTTTAGCCCGCTCTAGCAGCGCATCCAGCTCGGAATGCTGCTTATCCAGGGCCCGAAGTGCTCCCTGGGCTTTCGCGAGACCACTGCGAACCACCTCAAGCGCTTTCCGATTGTGCTGTTCAGCTACACAGCTGGATAGAGACCACTCTTGGATACGTTGGGGCAAAACCTAGAAACCAATGTGGGATGATAAAATTGTTTCATTACGTCAAACTGTGTACTCTTTACGTTGAGTAATTTAAGGCCATTAACTTTCCGATAGTTTGATATTTACTTAAAGAAATCTTCATAAGTGATAAGTACTTACCTTACATGGAAATACACACTTTTGATGTAATTAGTTTTATTTCTTAAATTTGTCTGTCCATTGATGTAATACGGTGTTATAAAGTTTAAATATATTTATCATCTATGTTTTATGTCAGATAAAAATAAAAAAAAAACCATTGATAGAAGGTAAAATTACAACCATGTAACATCTAAACAAGATATCAAATCAAATCAAATGAAATACCTATTTTGGCTATGCTGCCAACCTGTTTTGGCTTTGAACATTAGTAGATATTTTTAAGTACATAAATCAAACCTGATATATCCTGGCTGTGGCTAGTCGCATGCCGCACTGTGCTGAGCAGTACTTGGAGCCGTACTGTGCTGCGCGGGTGCACTGTGGCCCGTAGCAATGGCGTGGCTCTGAAGTCTGTAAGTGTGCTATCGATTCCTCCGGCTCGTACGTCTCACGTTCGTGGTGCTTCTTTTTAATCCGATTGCTGCTGAAAAGTGACAGTAACTTCTTGAATTTTCGAGCTGTTTGGTCGTAGAAATAGTGGAATTGTTCTCGACGCCATCTCTCGATGAGGATTGTGAGGAGATGATAGAAGGCGATCCTCGACTTCGCCAATACTTCGAACAGCCTCGAATACCAAGAGGCTTTAGAAATTGGCCACAGAAGCCTTTTACAATTTATAAGTTTCAGTAACAGTTGATTATTGTAATTTATAGGGGATCGGACCATGCCACCCATCATGGTTCATGTAGTTTTAATTGAATTTGAGTTACAGCTTGTCCATTTAAATTATTTTCCAAATCTTAATAAATACAATACCATTTAAGCTAATTCCCTACTAGCATTAAAATACTCAACTCAAGATTATAACAACTTTCCTTACCTAGAAACTCTAGAGCTCTTCTTGGCCTTGACACAAATTCGTTGCTTGCATTTCAGCTTCAATTTATTAGCACCTCCATATTTATACATATCTTCACAGGCCTCACAACTGAAAAATAACTTTAAAAACTCCTAAATACTCTATGAAAAATAAGTAGTTGGTTTGAGTAAGTATATTAGTGAGATTTTAGATATTTACTAATTTGTGGAAGAATTAAAAAGGTTCCATGCCATTATTGACTACTACTTCTTCCTTCCCCTTATAATAATAATATGATTATCTGCAAGTATATACACTACAATATACATATTTTTCTTGCCACCATCAATATTGAGTAAATTAATTTCAATTAAAACCTCTTCTAATGATACATCTAATAAATACATCATATAAGAAAATGTTATTACTTAAGTATCATATATTCTACATAACAACCCACAACAGACTAATAATAAGAGAGTTTCATTTAAAATGTTGAGTAAGTCAATTTTTTTATTCAAATCATTTCATATTAATTACTACTTATATAACACTAGCTGTGCCTGCGACTTCGTCCGCGTGGAATAGTGACTTGGGGTAGAATTTTTAATTATTTAGGCTGTTTATTAATTTATGTAAGGGCACATTTAATGCAATCTATCTATGTTTAAGAGTTACTTTGCCGCAACACTCTCACCTCACATCACTCCTACTCTAACTCCCACTCTCATTCCTACACTCACTCCCACTGCCACTCCTATTCCCAAAAAGCCAAAGAAGAAAGTTTCATTGTTCTAGCTTCAAAAACCACGAATTTCCATACAAATTTTCATCCACCTTTGCAACCCCTATCCCTTTTAATAAAATACTTCTTTTAAATTACCATAAGTTAAAGCGGGACAGACAGACAGAGTTACTTTCGCATTTATAATTTTAGTATAGATGATAAATCTTACTGTCCACAATCAGCCAACTGCAAACATCCTGGGCAATCACCGCAGCCATCTTTGGTAGGTCTCTTGGAAGATTTGTTTTCAGAATGTTCTTTCTCCTTCTTTTTCTTCCTACCTTCTTCACGGCCTGAAGAATATTTAAATAAAATCATATGGCTTGTTTTAAAAAGATTGTCAAATTTGTCAAGTATTTTTTGTATTCTGCTAATAATGCAGAAATAATTGACAGACCAAAAATAAAATGTAATGATACATACCTGAGTCACCATCATTTTCCCTCTTTTGGGGCCTGAATTTAGTTTTGAGACTAGGATCCTCTTCTCTGCACCGATCGCAGAAATAATTTTTGATATATTTTGCCTCTTTTTCCGAAATATTAATGCAATCTCCGTGATACCATTCTTCACAAGAATCACATGCTCTGAAAATAATAAATGGACAAAACATAAAACAAACATATTATAAATATCAAACTTAAGGTTCTAGATACTCTCTGTTCTAGGTATACACAGCTTAGGACTGTTTCTGTGTTGAACTATACGATTTAAATATTAATATCCTTACATCATAAACCTGGAACTATCTGAAGACCGACATATGCAATAAGCTTGACCAGCTTGATTCAGTAAACTTGTAATCTTAGATTGACGCTCCGGTAAATCAAACTGCTTAGCAATATCAGCTTTCTGTAACAAACAATAATATAATACAGTTATAAAATATCAATGCTGTCGTAAATTTGAATAATAAAAACACTTACACTTTGTTTATATTTCTTCATACTCATTATGACTGTGAGCAGTAATCGAACGAGATGAAATTATTGATTTAAAATAGTCCTAAAATAGGAAGTGCGTATTTCGTATATTATTATTAATTTTATTACAGTGTAATTGTATTTTATTTTTAAAGTTATCAATATAGGAATATATTGGTTTGTGGTTACATCTTCTTTGGCAGTTGGCTTGACATTGACAATGACAATTGACAATAGTTAAATACAATACTACAAATAGATGAATGACATATTTTACAACTGCCTTCTGCTGAACTAATTTTAGCGCATTTTATTCGCTCTAATATTATTCAACTTTGTATTAAGTATAACAGTGTATTAAGCATTCTATATTTAGTATTATCATCTGTCACATATTATGGAATGTTTTAGGTGTCTTTGTTTTCTTTTTTTTAGATTCATCCAAATACGATGGAGAACTTTTCTTATATATTTAATATACATTCGGTATTTGAAATACCGTGATTTTTCTTAATGCCATTGGTCATAAAACAAAATAAAAATAACAATAATAATTTAAACGATCACGCCTTGCCATTCCTCATTGGGTCATTGCACACATGACATTGGCAGAATCCATTTATAACGGGAAAGCCCTCAAATTAAGAAGCAGATGAGTGACACTGACATATTATCAAACAGTAAATTAAAGCCAGTCTGTGAATCAGTTTCCATAGCAACAACATGTTTACTGAATTTTGTTTATTTCGGATCTTGAGGTTACTTTCCGGTATTAATTGGAACTAAATCATAATGGAAAATCAAGATACGCCACAAATAATAACACACATAGAACATAATCTCAATCACTCACTTTTTGACTGCAAATGGATTCCTTGTTCAGCAAAGTTCGTCGTCATAGGTTGCCTGCCAAAGGGAAGCGGAACGATTGAAATATTTGAAATCACATCGGGTGAGATAAATAAGATTAAGGAAATAGAAAGACCCAATTCTTATAAATGTGGCACATTTGGAGCTAGCAGTGATATTGAAAGGAGGCTTGCTACTGGTGATTTTAAAGGCACCTTGGAAATATGGTAAATTATTTAATTTCATTTAATTGCTAGATGCTTGGCTGTTTAATACTTAGATTGGTTTTCCTTACGTCTTAGAAAATATACATATCTTTTTAGGGATCTAGAAAAGACTTGTCAAGTTTATATCACCAAGGAACATACAGATATTATAAATTCAATAGATGGCATTGGTGGTAATACCTTCAACTGTGGAGCACCAGAACTTGTGACTGGTAGTCGTGATGGTAAGTGATTATAACTCATTTTCAACAAAATACACCTGAATATATTTTAGTCTATTATCAAAACATCTTTGGCAAAGTATGGGTTAATTAAAAAGTAAAAATTTGTGAGTTCTATGTTAATTAGGTACTGTAAAGGTTTGGGACCCAAGACAAAGAGGCAAACCAGTAGCTAACATGCAACCAATGAAAGGAGAGATTAAAAGAGACTGCTGGGCCGTAGCTTTTGGCAATTCATTTAATGACGCAGAAAGAATAGTTGTAGCCGGTTATGATAATGGGGATCTTAAGATGTTTGATCTTCGTACAATGTCATTGAGATGGGAGTGCAATTTACGGAATGGAGTAAGTACCCACTGAATATCTATAAGGCTTAGTAGATAGATAGAATAATAACAGATACTCGGTTCCATTTCCGTCAGCTACAGTATGTATTTTATATTCATTATCTTACAGGTGTGTTCCACTGAATTTGATAGAAAGGACATACCAATGAATAAGCTAGTAGCTACTACTTTAGAGGGAAAGTTCCATGTGTTTGATATAAGGACCCAAAACCCTACTAAAGGCTTTGCACAGGTACCTATGATTAGAGAAAAGTATTTAGAATTAGTTATATTTTAATACATAGTTGTAATACGGATGCAGGGGTGAAGTGTAGTAGAATTGATCCCTAATCTGAAAGAGCCGTGCAGGACATTTTATATGCTGAGGAAATTTTGTGAAAGCTTCAGTTATATGTGAAACCACTATATTTTTTATTATCTTTCTGCTGTAATTCAGTTTGGCCTGGAAGAAATTGCTTCTTAGCTATAAAGCTTTTTATTTATAACTTTGTAAATAAGACGTTTTCTTTTATATTTTTTTGTTTTTGTGGTATATGTTATAAATAATAAATTTTATGAAGAGTGGTAAATTAAGTTTCGAATATGTTATAATTACATTTAATGGAAATTTTTAGGTCCTAGATAATTCAACGAAAAGTGGGACAATTTGGGTGTCACGACACTTACCACAAAATCGTGACATTTTTGTTACGTGTGCTGGAAATGGACAAGTTTCTCTATGGAAATAGTAAGAAACAACTTCTTCACACCCATTGATCACTCTTGGTTCGATTTCGGCTTACGTTAATGTTTTCTTTATGTAGCGAATATCCAGAGCAACGTTTCCACGTGGACGGCCACGGAGTGGCGGTCGGTGTGCCCGGCAAGTTGAACCGTCTCCAGCGCATGGTGATCAGCTCTCAGCCAATCAACGCCCTGGATTGGAACAAGGATCACCTTGGCTTGGCTGTGGCCACGGCTTACGATCAATATGTGAGAGTTATTGTTACGACGAAGCTGAATTTGCATTGATAATGTATCAGCAGGATTAATACCAGCAGCCTAGTTGTAGAAATATTACTCGCATATTAAACTTTCAATAAGAAACACATAAGTAAAAAAATCTATTTTTGTTTCCCCTTTATTAGTTCTTTAAGCCTATAAATAAAATACTTACCGGGATATATATTAGTGAAACTTATTTAAAATTTATTTTTAACTTCGGCCCGACGTTTTAAATGCTTTGCAGCAGCTTCTTTAATCCTATTGTAGTTCTTTAGGTCACAGATATGTGTCTATTCTGCTACGTGGAATAATCAGGAGTCCACTTATCGTTTCAACTTTTGGAGTGACCAAAGTACAAACACCTTATCTATGAGGTGGAAAAATTCAATTTTTTTTAACATTTTGGACGGCATATAAAATAAAATCACTATCCATTGCTTCTTTACTGTAATGGTAGCAAAACCACTTAAATTTACATAGGAATAAACACACTGTGATTTATTATAAATAAATAAAACAACATGTTGATTTTCTAACTCAAAAGAGCGTTTTATTATCTTAGCACTTATCATAAATAAAATTAAGGCTAGCATTCAGTTCTTATTTACGACTAATGTTATAGTTGGAGTCGCGAGTCGCCGATCCGGTTAGTAGTAATTTATTGCCGAACAAACGCCATTTGTAATAAGATCCGAGTCGTTTGAATAGCGTGGTGAAGAACTGGAGTGATAGGTAACATTAAGAAAGAACATTTTACAAAGTACTACTATGTAAAATTGTCTCATTTTGAACAAGTAGCCGTCGCTATGCAAAGATTGCGTTATGGCGTTGCTTAGAATGTGAAGAGCTTAGTGGTCTGTATATTTTTTTGGAATAGGGCCACAGTTGATTGTAGTCCTCCGTAATACGGAGGCATATATACTTAAAGATTAAGTATATAACAAACTCTGTTACCTCAGCTCCACTTAGTTCCCCCGAGTTCCCCGCCACGGTATCCACAACACGCTTGCGACAAACCCAACCACGTGTTAAAAATAGTGCTAAATATATCAAACACGTTAATGTAATTCTTTACAACACATTAAAGCGTAAACAAAGTGTTTATAAGCTAAATGAACACTAAATTGAAGGTAGATTTAATGATCGTATCCTATTTTAACTGTGGAAAGGCCAGAGTACACTAAACTACAATGTATTGTTGCTATCACGTTTTGCTTTAACATAACATTACTAACACATCTATCTCAATGTAGCGGAGAGAAGGTTCTCGTACATAGGCGCTGTAGAAATTACAATTTGAATCAGCATCAGCTCTAGAACCGTTCCCACAGCTGGGACTCGGGGATCCAATTATCCACCACGCGATCTTACTAACTTTTGTTATACCTTTAATTATAATACTTACTGAAAACGTTTCCCCCCGCTACGTCACTAAAATATTGTCTCACTGCTTGCTTTAAATGAAAGCAAAAAAGTAAACCATAATTATGTCCCATATACATTATAGTTCCCCAACAAATATATGTAACCTTAGCATTTCACTACAGCCCATTAACAACGATCGAGCCATCTACAAACTAGACATTGTACAAAAACTGCTTTCAAACAAACTATATGATTTATGCCTATGCTTACGAATATTTTTTACAATTTTAACTAGATGTGAATATAAGGCCTAAGTCAAAATTAGGTTAGAATCTTGAAATTTAAATGAACAACTATAAATTTGTATTTTGACACCCTGAACTTTATGAATACAGCAGAAACTCGAATCCGATACTTTAAAACATAAGACTATGTAATTTGAAATTACCGCATTGGTAAAAAACAATATGGAAATAAAATATTTTACATAGAAAACTTGGTAACGAAACGACTTACAGAATAATTTTACGTCGCGCATAACTGAGGAGGGGCGACAGGGGCACAAGTGAACTTTAACTTTATTGGTTGTGTTGGTCTACTGAAGTGCCGGATTAGAGAGTTCTACTGTATGTATTGTTTTGTATGTATTACAGGGGATTTTATGCCCTTTAGTATTACAAATTTTACTCGTACAAACTTCCATTTTTTGGTTTTAAGTTAAGATTACGGATGTCAAAATGCAAGCTTATATGAATTAAAAGCTGGTGTCAAATTTCGAAGTGAAATTCCTAATTTTCCTGGGGTAACGGTGTTATAATTAAGCTTGTGAACTACTTTGAGATCGACTTAAAGTTTCATCGCTGATTGCCTTAATTATATAAAAAAAACAAACGGAGCAGTGAATTGAGTACAAAATTCTCTCTTGTATCACATATAAATATATATTCTTATTATTTTAGAAGCGGTTCGAAATTTATTGGTTAGGTGACCGAATTAAAATCAGCGCCCTCTATCCAATTCCGAGGAAATTAAATTGTAAAATCTATTTTATTACGCGCTAGATTCAAACGCTTTACTCACTACTGTTAAAACTAAAAACACGCTACAAATCAAACATATAAATTAAACTCATATTTACATTTCTTGCTTATTCAAATTGCTTTTACAATCGATTGCAAAATGATCAGCGCAAGTCATCTGTTTGTTGTTATACTGCGGAGCAATTTACAAAGCTTTAACTTATATCTTACACGTTGACTCTTAATATATCGTTTATCAAACAATCAAAGTTACTTTTCCTATAGTATATTCACCAAAATGATTGTATATACCGCTGTCTCTTTCGCATAATCGACATATAACGGTGATAAAATTTAAATACATGGGGAGAAATAATTGTCTCGCGAATGACGCGCATTTCTTTGCCTATTGAGTTTTCGGCGAATAGCCCATAGATAATATAATACGCTGAAATTAATTTTATTCGATATGATTCGAATAAAAACGGATGCCCTTGATAAGACGACTGTCCCATTGCCTGATATTTAAAAAGAGTAAAAAACATCTTAATACAAGGCAAGTTGTGTTTGTACTATGTCCATCTAACACCATATAATACATATTTACCAAAAGCATCCGTGATTCGATACAAAAAATAAATGAGATTCCATACATATACATCGATTTTTGGTACAAAATGTGTTTGTTAATAAACCTAACCGATTCGTGAGTATGAGAGTACCCTCAAAGTTTTGAGGGTAGACATGACTCAAGTAAGTCCATGGCGACATATGTCGCTGGTCGTAGTTCATTTAACTGATGTTATCTGTGTAGTTCTCTAGTCGGATAACAGGAATTCTGAAAAAATAATTTTTAAAATAAAAGAAAAACATATTCTTTATTAATTATCATCATTATATTTAAATAATTATTGTTATAATACTTTGCTTGTATTTTTGCGTGGCTAGACTTAACTGTCTAGCCACGGAAGAAAAATTATTATATGCTCAACAAATTAACGAAACAGTCACAGTAATGCGCATGTCTTGTGAAGAAACCTCATTTTGTCGACTGATGATGAAAAAGGAGACAAATGCATTGAAACAAAGCGACAATAACGTAGAGTAGTAACTTACCTAAGCAGTAACAGAGATTCAGTCAAGGTTGTCCTGAAAGATGAGGCGTACATATCCCGGCGTGCCCTGGAGTGGTGCCGCGCAAAACGGACAGATGGCGTGGAAGCCGTTAGTACCGTGCGGGATATCTACTGTTGCCCAATATCTGAGGAAACGAAATTGGTTTAGTAGCTTAATTGGTTAAAAGCAATTGCACAGAATGTTTCGGATGCCAGGTCAAGTCCTGCTGTGTCGTAATTTTTTTTAAATAAAAAACAACATAACTGCAATAATAAAGAACTTCCAAATACAATTTTAAAGTATTATTTTTGATAATTACTCGGTAAGTGTAAAAATAGTACTTTAAGGTGCCGCCGCCATCTTGTTGAATATGTTATTTCGTGAAAAACGATGTCAAGTATTGTCTTTACTTTACGCGAGTAGTACACATAAAAAAAACATTATTAACGGTTTAAAACGCAAAACGTTGAGTTCACTATATTTCTTATATTTCGAGTTTTTAACCGTTTTGTGTTTTATTTCAAAATCGCTTTTTCCAAATCATTAACTCACTTGACTGTCCTCTCGGACGCCATGTGTCCGCAAGGATTGAAAGCGTAGGTCGGCGGCCCAGAGTCGACGTAGAAGGCGGGTTCGATTCCCATACAGACACGTACAACTGGCCCAGCGGTCAGGCACATTGGACAACGGCGCACGCCGGTTTCACTTCCTTCCGCACCCCAGGAGTGTTCGCCTGAAATAATTAAAAAAGTTAAATATAGTTTCAAAGGAAACCCAGGTTTTCAAGATATAATATTATCCTATCGCCTTGTGGATTTAATAAGAAATCTTTACATGTTATTGCACTTGTTCTTAGAAAAAAAATACGTGCTGTTCTCTGTGGATGGAGTTTCAAATCCTGTCCGTGTCGTTATGAATTTTGTGTTTACCCTGGAACCATGCTGGTCGGGGATTCGAGCTCTAACTTGTTTTCAATTCAAATACTTACTTATGAATATTAAATATCATAAATGTTCTAACACAGTGTAAACTGGTCCTAATGTTACCGATGCTCCGCCCCTATAGCCTTACCTTGAACGTGACCACAATTGAGATAGACGTAGGGCTGATTCAGATCTTGGTGGGCTGAAGACAGCTTTCTCGGGATCACGAGTGTGTTGAGGCCCACAGGACACTGAGGTCGGCCGGCGTTCAATTCATCAACTAGTGCTTCCAAGTCACGTTTTGTCTGAAATTAAATATTTCTTATGTTTTCTTTATCCACAATGGTGGGTAATCGTCCGATTCTTCTTCCGGTGTCATCGACTACTCGCCTATATATAAAGAAATTGATCAGTGAATCGGCCAAAGAAACCCCACCCCATTCTCTCGAGAGGAAATGGGCTTTCGCGTTTTATGGGTACCGTAGTTGAATATTCCTACCGGTGAGTTTTTCAGTCCTTCAGCGCTCCTCCACAGCAGCGTTGCGCCACACAAGTCTATCATTGTTCCATCTCTTAGTACGTTTGTCTCCGCTTGACAGGGTAAGCCCTGGAAACGAAATAATTCGATTAACAATTGAATATAAGGAAAATAGTCAATGCGACAAGTCTTTCTTGTTAATGCCAAATAAATTTTATAATATTGTTTATGTAAATATATAGCTATAAAAAACTATTATATTCTTCAATAACTATTCTACGCGGACGAATTCGCAGACTTTGCTAGTGGTCTAAATATTACTTCTTTATAGCTTAAGTGTTACCTTCTGTTGAGCAGACCGGCTTTCCCTTAGCGAAAACACTGCCCCACCGACCGAAGTCTCACGCCATGGCCCGCAGGTGGCGCTGCCTCCACAGAAATCGCCCCGGGGGTGCATTATGAGCACGCCGTTTGTCGTTAGGCCGTCTATCTCGTGGTTCTCCGACCATTTTGTCGCCTTCTCCTGCAATAAATAAATTATTTATTAATACAATAATTAACATAAGTGCTAGAAAGCACTTTGAGATGGGCTTTCAGCGTATCATGTAGTTCATATTTTAATAAACGCTTAGTTTTATTCAAATATGGTAAGTAAGCATTAACTGTATGTTCAGTGAGCAGTGTACATTAAAAAAAAATACTTTTAACAGTTTTAAACGCGACTTAAATTAAGTTACGTTATTTATAACTACCACAAGTCGTTTCATGTGAGGACAACACATGACAAAGCCATGATCTGATACACATTAGGATTATTTTTTTCATGATAGATTAAAACAGATGAATAGAAGTTGACTTGACAAGATGCGATATTATATCGATATTCCTACCAACCAACCATTTAATGTCCAGATACCCAGATGACTTCCAACATGTTTCCGAAAAATGATTAATTGATAAGAAACACATTAGACCCATTAGGGGTCGAACCGAGTGCAGTTATTAGTCTTATAATTCTACCATTAGACCGACCCGTAAATTTTAAAGTTAAGATTAAAGGAAGTCAATTACACAGCCGGGATTCGAACCCAGGTTCCAGTCCAGTTTGTGTCATCATTTTCACTCTTTCTCTGTCACCATTTCAACAATCCATTGTTCCGTTGTTCGTAGAGGTCTTTGTCAAGGGAGGCCGCGAGTCTTTGTCTCGTTTTTACATAATACCATTCGTTACGCGTAATTTCCTGGTAATTAAAGCGTTATTCTCACGCGCCTATTTTTGCAGTAACGTACGGGAATATTTACTGATACGGGCACGTAGATGATAGAGGGAACGGAAAAAAGTACGTACTATCCTAATTTATAAAGCTGAAGAATTTGTTTGTTTGTTTGAACACGCTAATCTCAGGAACTACGGGTTCGAATTGAAAACACTTTATGTGTCGGTTAGAGCATTTATTGAGGAAGGCTATAAAACATCGCTCTGTGACTAATACAAACTAAGAGGAGTACATTTACAAAATAAATTTTAAGAGTAAAAGGGTTAAATTATTTACAGTCCCCCCTGTAACCACGACTGCTGCAAACATATGGTGGTAGTTAAAATAAATGGTTGTCACGTGAAAAACTGCGTCGGCTTGGCTTGGTTGGTAAATCAAAATTGTTTCTTATAAATAATGTAAGGCAGACTAAACACGTAATCACCCAATTTGATGATTCATGGGGGTTATTGAAGATCTTGATTGAATAATTAACTTTTAAAGATGAAAGGAATTAAATGATATAATAAAAGTTTGTATACCTCAGATAAGAATAAAATATTATTCCACTCTCAAAACCTAGCAATTGTAAATCGATCGTTTTCAACACTTTTAAAATTTAATTTTAATGAAAAACTTTCGACGGTTTAAAACGGTGCGAAATATTTTAGTTAATATTGATTTGTAACCCCGCTTTGTTTTGGGTAGTATCCGGGGTCGTTAAATATCTTTTAAATAAAACACTTTAACGATTTAAAACGTGGTTTTAGTGAAACTTGTTCGAAAATTATTTTTAACTACGGCCCGACGTTTCGGATGCTTTGCAGCAGCCGTGTTCACGGAGAAACATACAAACTAAAATATAACGCCTTTTAAATCGTAAAAATATTTAAGTACTTACGTAAATATTAAATTACTTTACTCGCGTAAACTACGGACAGTATTTAGTAAGTTATTTTTTAATAGTGTACTACTACTCATGTAAGCTATAGGCCAATAATTTTGTAATTAAAATACTTGCTCTTTATTCAGAATTACTTGCTCTTTATGATAATTATATTTATATTTACTAAATTAAACTATTTTCAGTGAATTTCGGTTATAACATATTCAAACCGATTTTCATACCATTCAAATTCGGGATAAGGTCAAAAGTATTCAGTATCTTTTATCAAATTTGCCTAATGTTATTGATTACAGTACTACGTCCCACTTCTGAAACAATCTACCTAATACCATCGATCGATAAAACATAAATGGTATTAAGCTACAGACAATTTGATTAAGCGCGCTTATAAAGGAGACCGATTTTCATAATACTTTCAGGTATATAAATTATATTAAAATAATTTCTCGTTATAAAAAATATGATCAAGTTATGAACGTTAAAACATAAATAAAGGTGCGCTTTGGTTTCAGTCAGTAGATTGCAAAATATCGAAACCCAAAATAAGTCGACAGCACATCTTCCATCCTTCCATCAAGTGCCCTTGCCGATGCTTGTCTTCCTCAAAAAACAGAAAACTGTTCTACCATTACTTAACAAAGGAGAAAAATTGGCAAACTCTCCGCTATTTTTTTATATCGCCACTTTCATTTCACAGTGTCTTCAACGTTCAAAGAGGAACGCTATAGGCAAAAATGTTACGGAAACGGGGGAATTTATTAGTTGCTTGGGCTTCTTGCAAAGGGTTACATTGCAGAAATGATTTGCTCTTAAAAGCGCCGACAGAATATTTGAAATACTCTGGCAAACGTGCTTTTCTTATATTAAATATTTCGACTAGAAGTTGATTACTATAAAAATGGAGTTAATAAATAAATAAGAGATCTTAAAAAGTTAAATACTGTCAATAGTTTACGCCAGCAGTACACATTTAAATAAAACACTGTAACGGTTTAAAACGCGATATATTAGTTAAACTTATTTGAAAATGATTTTTAACTTCGGCCCGACGTTTCGGATGCTTTGCAGCAGCCGTAGTCACGGGGAGACACCCCGAAAAATCATTTCCAAATAAGTTTAACTAATATATCGCGTTTTAAACCGTTAAAGTGTTATATTCAAATCTTAAAAGTTATTTAAATATACTTTTATAAGGGGGGGGGGGGGGGGGGGGCAAAAAAAGGGGGGGGGGGGGGGGGGGGGGGGGGAAAAAAAAAAAAAAAAAAAAAAGGGGGTTTTTTAAAGGGAAAAAAAAAAAAAGGAAGGGGAGGGAAAACAAAAATTTTGGGGGGGGAGGGGGAGGGGGTTTTAAAAAAAAATTAAATCCCCGTGAAAATTAATTAGGAAGGTTTTAGGAAAATTAATTTGCTCGAGGGTTGCACCAATAGGTTGAAGTACGGTAGCTCGATTGGTTATAGCACGGAACGATGTGATTGCCGGTTCAAGTCCGGGCGGGACTAACTAAATAACTTTTAAAAAATAAGCCTAAAAACAATAACGCAACACATTGCACCTGTCATTTATCGTTATTGATCAACTTCCAGGCAATGTATATTTTATATTTTCGTCATCGTAAGTAAACTAGAGACGTCATGTTCAAATAGATTCGAACCAATAACATTTTATTCCATCAAGGCTAACAATGAAACCTCAAGGGAGCTAACCCCGACTCGTAATAGCGGTTGTTCGTGATACGACAAACCACGATATCCTGCTATACGTGGACAGGATAACTTGGGAATATCGTTCTAATTACATTAAGCATAAAGGTTGAATTGTCTTCCATCTTAATTTACCTATAATAGGCTTAAGTTTTGACTTGTGGATTGTGATTGGTAACAAATCTGTATCTAGTTTCAGTAGAGCTTAACACTAATCTAAGCTTTTTTTATAAAAGATACAAGGATAAAGCACAAATCTTCGTTATTATGGCTAGGTTCTTTATTAACCAATTGGTTAGCCAGAATTAAACCTAGAATTGTTACTACTTTGTAAGTGATTTTACAAATCTTCCAAACGTATAAATGAGTTTGATATTTACACTACCTTGATATTTATACATATTTGATTGTTTTATATTTCCTAAGTGTGGAAAAGTATTTAAAGTTCGTAATAATGTTTTATCGCAGTATATATTTGTTTATTTCAAATTTAGGCTAAAAATCTTTAATAAAATTGTTTCACGCGTATTTGTATACATTTAAAATTCAAAATACAAAATTTTTAATTTCAAATCGCACTGTCGTTTAAATGTACAAGTATATGTTTCAAACGAAAAAGCATATTAAAGCTAATATGTACGTACATTGAATTTATATGTATTGATAACGTGTACTGTGTGAATTAGTCTTGCTTGAATTTCTGGGTCCTGTCTGGTTTATCAACTTGTATTGACGTCCACAAGTGTAATCAGCTCGTGTATAGTGACGTCGAATGACGTACATTACGCGAATAATTGACGGGCACGTTGGTGTAATGGTAGCAATATATTATGGCTAAACAACGGGGTGTGGGTTCGATTTCCACCGGTTCCAACATTTCTCTAATCAATTTATAATTTTTCTATAACATGTTCGACGTCTGGAAATCTATATATTAAATGGGTGGTAGGAATGGGTGGTGTCCACAGATGGAAAAGCCGTGAAGTTTGATCGCGTTTCGACAGCGTTTTATTTAGATGCTATAGGCTGTATTTCACATGCCATCAAGCGAACCCTACGCTCGTATGTCCTCGTCTATCATTAAAAAAATACATACGCCAAGAAAGATATTCCTGGAGGAGTCGAAGCCCGCGGCGAAAATGCGACAATTGTTGACGTCATTGCGGTCCGCTATGATGCGGCACGCGAAACGCGATATCGTACTCTGCAACACTTTGGTGTCGCCTGTCTTGTCGCCGGCTACGGTGTCCATGACAACGAAGTCGATGGGCGACTCTGACGATCGGCCGATCTGAAAATAAGAGGATAAGATACATTGATTTTTGTAATAAATTTCTTTTACCATAGTAACTTATTTTTAAGAATATAATAAAACTGACCTAAACCTAAACCTGTAAATATGAGATAAAAATAGGTTTATTTTTATTATGAATTCGCTTAGTACATTTCGGTGTAACCCAATCAGTAGAATGAGTTGAAAGAATATCTACAAGAACATGTAGGGTAATATTATATATCGTGTGTAGGTATATAAAATTATTCAAATTAGGAAAAAAAATTACGGTTTAAAACTTGAAAACGCCCGGAGACCACGCCGTAGGTAAAATAATTTTTAATTAAGTTAACTAATATATTTCGCCTTTAAACCGTTAAAAGTGTCTTAATTTATTGAGTAGGTATTACTCGCGTAAACAGCAGAAAACCCTTAAAACTTGAGTGTCTTATTGTTATTAATTAGTAATTACTGTACGGTTTATTGTTACAGATTAAATAACCCAAATATGTTACGCCGTTTTGTATGAAATTTATTCAAACATATGCACGGTATTCAAAAAAAACACAACTATCTTATCCTCAGGCATCAAAAAAGGAATACTATGTATACAAGCTATGTAATACTAAATAATTAAAACTGTATTAAGCTGAAAATATCTTACTATGTGTTGATATCAAAGTTATGTACAGTATATTAGTTAGACTTTGCTTATTTATTTGTATAAGATTTCCCCAAGTGATTTAAGAAGCCCGCGATTCCATAATAACTCAATTCTCGGAAAAGATTAATAATACATACCGGACGAATTGAAAATTACCCTCTCCATATGAAACTGGGAAAACACAGTTTCCACAAAGCGTCGTAAAGGAAAGGAACAAAAGATTTAAATTTAGTAGGTCATTGTTGATAATAATGTAAAACTACTTAAAATATAGTTAATGAAGCATAAAAATATTTAACATAGCTTATTTCATATAAATATAACGTGAAAAAGTAAATTTGGATTAATTGATGTGACATAATGTATAAAAAAAAATATTATGACGTAAAATTTAATAATTTAATATTGACATAAGTTAATTTACTTTTTATGTCACACGCGCAATGTCAAAATTGTACTTTTTATGTTATGTCAAACTGACTGCTTGTTACTTAAATTAAAAACTTGAACCACGTGTAACCTTGATTTAGGGATGCCGGTTCAAGTCTCGCCCGTATCGTAATTTTTTATCAATTTTAGAATCGATTTTTAATTTATATATTGCCATTAAATTTTAAATATCGATGCAGCACTTTAAGCACTAGAAAAGTACATACATAATAATTACCCTTCCTTTCAAGTTAGGTAAGTTTTACAAGCCAACACTCAAAATATTCAATTACACTAAGATTATACACAGATTACAAGATAAATTCTCAAGCAATTGGCTCAGATGATCGCCAAGTGTGAAGGTTGCGTTACGTCAGTGGGTTCCGTTGAGCGAATGTGCCGCTCTAATAGTTTCCCGGGGAGGAAGCGTCGAGGCTTTTACACCTCACGAGATTCGTAAGGGATATTAGAGTTCCGTTCGAGTGACGTCACATCCGAAAGCTTCTCAATTACTTCGAGGGAGCCTCGGGTTATATTATAATTTACAACCAAGTTTAATAATACATTAAATAAACTATATATAATTTTAAAATCATCGTCATCGTAAAGGCATCGTCAGCGGTCAAGTATCCAATTGGTTAAAGCAACAGCACGAAACGCTGATGATACAGTTTTAAGGTCTGCCCGAGTCGAAATTTATTTTCGAATTTTAAATTATAAATAGTTATCATTTGCAATAACATGTGAAAATATTTATGTTTCGTAAACTATTTATATAACGCATTAACAAATTTTCTCATTGTAAGATAGTTGAATAAAACAGTAGTAACAATTAAAAATAATAATAATTAGCTTTAACTAACTCCTAAGTTACGGCCTACCAGGGCACGAACCTTTCACCAAGGTACCCAGTATTTATCCTTTCTTTACCCCAAATTTCGCGTGCATTTTAAGAGATTCCTTACGTTAATATAATTCCCGTTTTGTTCGGTAACCGGGGAAATTTTCGCTAAATATCTCGCGAACACAATTAACATTTGAGCGAGCCAAAACATGACTCGAAAATTATAAAGGAATAAGGAGACGTCTTAATTTATTCTCTTATTCATTCACAAAATCTTATTTTCAAAGAGAATCGCTTGCATTATGCATAAAACACGACACGATTTCAACAGTCCGCATTTCTTTAATGCTCCACCATATTTTAAGGTTTAATTAAGACTTATGAATAATACTTTTCATCTACTTGTGTAAAAATGTATGTAATTCAAATTTCTTTATATAAATTAAAGTCTTGAAGAGAGAGATTTCAAACAATTATCTACTTCTATTGAAAATTTAAATTTTATTTATGTACCCGTTACAATCTCAGTTTGGTGACCCGATTATCTAAGGTTTGCAAGTTTAGTTTAAGGATAAACGTCTAAAAAGTTTTTTTCTCAGTTCGTCAGTCAGTCATCAGTCTTAAAATCTAACCAAAACGATCACAGCACGACAAAACGTCGGCTAACCTCGTCAGTGCCTTCAAGACATGGTCGCAGAACGCAATGAAGGCCGACTTATCTCTATTCCGGTTCTTTATCGGACATTAAGACCAATGATTTTTTAATTACAAAAAATAATAATTTAATGGTCTTTGTAAAACATTTGATAATATACATTTTTACACAAATTTACCGCGTCTCCACTTACACAAAAGTTCGTTTCATAGATTCGATATTCCAAATTCAACATGTTAAAAAATAGTTGAAAATCGATTTACAATGAATTAGGGCCAAGCGGGAATCGAACCGACGTCCACTTGTTTATTAGTTGTTTATTTTATTTAGCTATTTGCAACATTATTTAGCTATTTGCGAGCTCGTTAAAATGAATAGCGTGACATTAGTGTCACGTTCTACAGACTGATACGCAATTACACGTGTATAATTAGTATTCAGACCTTCCAACAACAAAAACAAACGACAGTTTATAGTTACGCTCCAAAAGAAGACAAGGGTTTGGACTGTGTGATTTAAATCTTAAACAAAACTGATCGCTACTTATAAGTCCGTGTGTCCTTATTACTGGTTTGTTTTTCAAACCGTTAAGGGTTAAGATTCGGCTTTAAAGACGACATGGTCTGACAAACATATTGGATGTTAATATTAAACAGAAAAATAGAATCTTACATGAATGAATAGAAGAATAAAGCACTTTATATAAAATACGAGTACCTTTGACTAGATATTCGAAATTCATATTGACCATTTTTGATATTTTAAGTATTTACAAAAATACATATCATACGTATTATGTTATTAAAATCAACAGTGAATAATTATGTAGGTATATATAAACGTAACGAACAGTTCCAGCAATAGTAATTGATTTTTATCGCATAAGCTATCATAATACGTTGCTGAAATCATAAGAAAAATGTATTTGAATTGGAAAAATTTAAGACACGGGCCGGACTTGAACCAGCATCAACAGCGTTCCGTGCTACTGCTTTAAGCAATCGTATAATTTAATATCGTCTCCTACAATCAATGCGTCATCGTGCAATTTCTTTAACCCATTAAAAAATACAGTATCTTAAGTAATTTCAATCTAAACTTATGTGTCAATGTGAAATCCCGTTTCTCCCTCGTGGGGCATGGGGCGAACACATTTTTGTGTCCGTTTACTGATCCGATCTTTAAAGGAAGTGAGTAGTGTGTAGTTGATCAGACTTATGTGCCCTGCCCGACCGAAACAATTTTTTGTTTCCCCGGGATTCGAACCCAGGTCCTCTCGCACTTAACGCAATGCTAGGCAATACGTTTAACCATTTGGCTACAGAGGCGGTCAACTTACTTATGTAAACGTTATCAAAACAATTGCAAAAATATATAACAGAACCATGACCATGAAATAATAAAAAATAGACGCAGAAACCAAAGTAAACACTTGTATCGACAAAGATTTTAGTGCCCAATAAATAAAATGCGAAGCGGAGCATTTATTGCATAAACAAGGGCGGGCCGAAGAAAAAATACGCGAAATTTATAACAAACCATACGGGTTTCATATCGTGGTAGGATTTGCATGACACCTTGCGTGACTTTCAGATTTAGAAGATTATATGCAACTGTATCGTATCATGTTATTATAATGAATAATTTATATTATATTCATAATATTTATGACGACCTAGTTTTTTCAATGATAGCAATGTAAGGAGTTCGATTTCCACCATCATCATATGTTGCTGCTCAAAATCGAATTATATTTTTCTGAAACACGTTGGACATTAAATACTGTCTGTAGTTTACGCGAGTAGCACACATTTATATAAAACGATTTAACGGTTTAAAACGCGATATATACTATTTCTTAAATAAGTTTAACTAATATATATTTCGTTTAAAACCGTTACAGTGTTTCATATTTAAATGTTCGACATTGCCTGGAAAATTTGAATATTAAATGAGTTCATAGATCACATATCAATTTTATCCACCTTATTTTGTTATGTTTCCTTCCTTAATCATCAATCTAAAGACATATTTTATATTCTATCTTAATTATCTTAATAATCTCCATCAAACTACTCGATCCTACACTAATATATAAGTTAATCCGTGTTACCCCAATAAATAAATTAAAGCTGTTTTCTGGCTCGGCGATTTCCCACTGGCACATTAATTTTCTGCCCATTACTGAAATTATAATATCATTTTCGTGTCCTCAAATTGGATTACGATGCGTGACTGTCACAACGATGAAAAGATTGACTCAGTCAACATGCAAAGCCAACATAATTCGAAACAACGGAATCCCGAAAGTCATTCCTGTTATTCCAGGAAAACAATCGAAATAGGAATTTAAAGTAGAGTTCAATAAAATATAAATTCTCGCTCCAAATTGAAAGCTTTTATTAACTAAATGTTGTATCGAAAGT